TATGTTACTAAATGTTGAGTTTCTATTTAGTTGAATAAGTTCTAGTACATTTCATTTCATAATAGAACGCCGTCAGCACGATCCGTCCGACGGAACCTTGTAGTGTGTGAGTGCCTTTATTTGCTATTACGTTACAGAGTATAACCAATGACCCTGACATTTGCAATGCAAACTTGACTGTTCATAGACTCACGGCAATGACTCTATTGAGCACAGTTTTTTGTTATGTTCTGGAATGTTGGAGAATAGAACTGGCCGTATCCCGCGACATTCCTTGCGTCTAATTGCTAAATGAGTGTATTGAGCACAAGTTTTTGTAATATTCTGGAATGTTGGAGAATAGAACTGGCCGTATCCCGCGACATTCCTTGCGTCTAATTGCTAAATGAGTGTACTGAGCACAGGTTTTTGTAATATTCTGGAATGTTGGAGAATAGAACTGGCCGTATCCCGCGACATTCCTTGCGTCTAATTGCTAAATGAGTGTACTGAGCACAGTTTTTTGCTATCAAAATCGGTGAAGTATTTTTTTAGTATACTGTTTTATATATCGCCTACATACTTTAGTCATCAGGAAGCTTTGTAACCTGTGTTTCATTTGAAAGGTTGAGATAAGGTACTGAAATTACAGGATAAGAGATATGTGTTGTGGTTGTGTGTATTTGTCGGTTCTTTTTATATGTTTTACATTATTATGTAAAAAATCAAAGACTATTGACTGTTGACCTGTAAGAGTATTTTTCAATCGTTTTATAATTATTTTTAAATATTTATTTATAAAAAAAAATTTAACATTATATTTGTCGCGTGATAATGTGATTATGTATAAGGTGGGTTGTTATCTTGATTGATATACCAATTTTAGAAAGTAAATATTATATTAAAAAAGGAGTACACAAAATTTAATTTTCCATATTGTAATACTAGCTATGTCCGCGGTTTCATCCGCATGAAATTTATAGGCTATATGTTACTCTGATGTATAAACTACATTACTGTAAAGTTTCATCAAAATCCGTTCAGTAGTTTTTGCGTGAAAGAGTAACAAACATCTATCCGTACTCATAAACTTTCGAGTTTAGAATATGAATAATATTAGTGTAGATAGAAAATGTTAATGTGGTTTACAGTTAGTTGCTTATATAAATAACGTGTATAATATAAACAAAACGGGTTTCTATATACATATAACCCGCTGACCCGACATACATCTAGTCTTAGTGAATACGCGAACTGTCCAACGAGCGAAGTTATTGAATTAATACTAACTATTATAAACATATTATTTAATAATGCCCTTTATTCTGAAATTTATAAATATTTTACCTAAAGTATACAAATTGTTTTTATTTAATTTCTATAATATGTCTCTCTTTTCTGTGTGCCTTTTGACATAGGCCTCCTCCAGCGACTTCCATTGATTTATATCCTGTGCAACTCTTCTCCATTTTGTGCCCACAACTTCAACTCATCTTCCCAATTCATCATTTGCTTTCTCCTCTTTCTCTTTCCGTCTCTAGGATACCACTCTGTTATTTTTTTTACTCCATTTTTCCCATGTATAACGCATCATGTGGCCAGTCCATCGCCACTTCTGCTGGTCTATTTTTGACAATAAGTGTGTTAATTTCGTTCTCAACCTAAGATCACTTTTCCTTACCATAGCCCTTTGGCAGGTAATTTTGCTCTATGAACTTTGGTCAAGGCCCAAGTTTCGCAGCCATAAGTTAGGTATGGGAGTATGCAGGTATTGAAAGATATTATTAACTATTACCAATATTGACTAAATTAATTTAAAAATATATTTCACTCTGTTTTTTTCGAAACTCTGACTCAAAATAATTTATTCACATAAGACCTTTTGGTCTCTAGTGGACATCATATTCTTTATCACTAGAGACCGGATTTTTTTTGCATATTCGCATATGCATTTGCATATTTATGCCATTCTCAGAGGTAATAGTATATTTTACTCAAGATCTAGTTATGATGCATATTATCGGTACATTTACAATATTTTTCACTCACTTGCGTTCCGAAATGCGATTAAATTTAATATAATAACAGTCACAAAATATAAGGGCCATTGAGTAATAATTGTGACTTTACTGCATTTCGGAATGCAGTCAGTAGCCGCGTGCGTGATTTTTTTTGACAGTTACGACAATAAAATGAAAGAGACAGACCTATTACGCATATAAAGTGTTTTAGTTAGTTTGAATAGCTGACAGGGCGATGGCCCACACGATGGAATGGTAATTGTCGTCTATATACATGAACAGCACCACTGATATCACGTTATCACGTTATCATGATACCCTTAAAATAAAGTTAGTATTTGTAGTATTAGTTATATTATATTTTTTTAGTTAGTTTCTATTTGGTATATGTTTTATATGCTGACCCGGGATTGTAAATATGTATATTTTATGAAAACTTCATCCTTATTGCTCCAGCTATTTCGACCTGAAATTTACTCTATGTAAAGATAATGGAAATATTTTAGATTATATATAGTATATATATTATATATATATACATATATAATTATAAATCTGAAGAGTTTGTTTGTTTGAACACGCTAATCTCAGGAACTACTGGTTCGAAGTGAAAAATTATTTCTGTGTTGGATAGTTCATTTATCGAGGAAGGCTTTAAGCTATATAGCAATACGCTACGACCAATAGAAGCATCAGTGAGAAATGTTGCAAACACGGGAAAAATTATTCATATTTGAGGGCTTCCGTTGCGTGCGCACTGCGTAAACGGTTTAAGTTACCCAAAAAATATATATGAAGTGTTTTTGATAACCACGCGAACAAAGTCGCTGTCATAGCTAGTATGTATAACGGTAAATTGGCCGCAATTATATTTTTTATGATTTTCCAAATCCACTATATTTTTATGACAAGATGCTTGTAACAATGCCAAAATATCAGTTCATAAAAATATAAATTTATTATTATTATAAACGCGAAAGTTTATGAGTATGGATGGATGTTTGTTTTTCTTTCTCATACATCAGAATAACACATAGGCTACAAATTTCATGCGAGTGAAACAGCGGGCACAGCTTGTCATAACATTACATAGTATCGTAAACAACTTTTCAAACAATGATTTCATCATATCATTCAAGTCACAGTTTTTTAGTAATTTCCAATGGCAGTCTGGTGACGGCCCACACGATGGAATGGCAATTGTCGTCTATCGTTACATAGTATAAAACAAAGTCGCTGTCGCTGTCTGCCCGTTCCTATCTATGCTTAAATCGTTAAAACTACGCAACGGATTTTGAAGCAATTTTTGTAATCGATAGAGTGATTCAAGAGGAAGGTTTTATGTGTAATACACGTACACCCAGGCGAATTGTAGTTTACCTCGAACATCACAAACTTTTCAAACAATGAATGCAGTATTTCATTCCTTCCCAGTTTTTTAGTTAGCATGAATAGCTGACAAGGCGATGGCCCACACGATGGAATGGTAATTGTCGTTTATATACATGAACAGCACCACTGATATCACGTTATCACGTTATCATGATACCCTTAAAATAAAGTCAGTATTTATAGTATTAGTTATACTCGTAAGACCTTGACAGCGTGACACAGAGGAAATCATCAAATCATCTGTTTGAATCATTGATGATTTATCAATCGTAGTAATAAAGCCCTCGGTGGTCTAGTGCGTTAGTACAGTGTCTTACACATGATGGTCGCGGGTTCGATTCCTAGGGTCTTATTTGAGGTATTCAGTGCATACTAACTGGGCCACATTTCAGGTTTCGCTTAGAAAATGTGGGGGTTTTGTACGACCCAGATTAGAAGCTAAGTGCGGAGAATAGAGTCCATTTTACATTAAATTATATGTCGAGGTAAGTCGCTACACTGATGGTGTACCTCTCAGTTCAGCCCATAATACAGAGCCCACGATAGGGACGTAGGATATTAGAAAATGTATATGTATCGATGTACGATAAATATAGAATAACAAACATCGATGTCAGAAAACACCGATGATCACCTTGGCCTATTTGTTTTTTTTAACATAATCGCGTTATTCGTCAGTCAATATCTAAACTTACTTCTAAATCACGCAGTCATAATAATAATCTCAGGATAATTCACTCAGCGCCATCTAGTCCTAAGTTAAGCTAGATAAAGCTTATGTTATGGGTACTAGATAACTGATACAAATACATAGATATATTGTTTTTCGTAAATAAACACATATTATACATAGAAAACACCCAGACCGATACAAACAATCATACTCATAAATACAAATATTTGTGCTGTGCGAGGAATCGAACCAGCGACCATCGAAAGTAAGGCAGTGTCCTAAACCGCAGAACCACCGAGGTCGTTAAATGATTTGATCAATGATTTGGCGCCATTTCATGTTCTTTTTATTTTTTTTAGGTTATCGAGTCCTATCTGATTATTTTTAGGTCTAATTGTCGGTTCTTGTTATTTATGCCAATGTTATCGAATACTTAACTATAATACATCGATGTTATTCGATATTATCAATCGATCGATATTTTTAAGCCGTGAGAACAAAAAAATATTTCCCAACGAACCGCGAACGTTCGAGTCATCAATTTGTTAATTCAATATTTATTCACTTAGCAATAAAAATACACCAATAAATTTCAATTAAAATAAATATATTTGTTATCACATAGTGTCTAATTAGAATTGAAATTCATTAACAACGATTGTCATACCACTTTGCCTCGTTAAATATTATGTCATACCATGATTTCATGTTGTATTTTATATATCTAGTCTTACTTATATACAACAGGTTATTTTATAGTTGTAACATGAGAGACTGGCGGAATACGAAACCAGTTTAATACACTAGTCCTTTTAATAAAAATATTTAGCTACTAATATATATACTTACAGAATATTCTTTATCAGCAACTGGTAATAAAAATTTCTAATAATACACAGTTGTACCAGTACAAAAAAAATGAACTAGACGCCTGTGTCAGTCACTATTCGCGCGGTCTGAGCTCACTTTATCATTTGATCCTTAGCGTTCCAATATTATCGTTCATTCACGGGAAAACTCTATATAGCAACGGACTTGTGTACGACACGAATTTATGTTTATTTGTCATGCGTTCGCAACTGATATTTCTCGCGTGTGTAGCGTTAGTCTACGGCAGAGACGGTCCATGTAGTGAATCGAGGACTAGAGCAATACTAAAACGATCAACCTACGACTTCTCAGTGAAATTATTAGATAGAGTCTCTCAAGAAACTGATGCACATTTCGTTTATTCGCCGCTGTCGACATGGATACAACTTGCCTCTCTAGCGGAAGGAGCTAAGGAGGATACTCTAAACGAAATATGGAATGTAACCAGACACCATAATAGATACTGCTTGAAAAAGAATTGGAAGAGAATCATAAATGAAATGGACGATGATTTAAAAACGGTGTACAAAAGAAAAAGTGTGTTGGTCATTGACAAATTGTTGAATGTGAAAAGGTCGTTTATAAGAAATGTACAGAGGTTGAATAGTTTTAAAGTGTTATTGTATAATTTTAACAATAAACAACGCGCTGCGGACAAAGTGAACGATTATATTGAGAAGGCTACAGATGGTGTGATCACGGATATTTTGTATCCAGACGACTTTAGAGCTACGGTTGCTTTACTGGCGGGTGGTGTATATTTTAAGAACGCTTGGAAAATGTCATTTAACCCCGTGTACACATATCCAAAACCCTTCTACTCAATATACGGCAATGCTACAGTAAACATGATGAAACAAATCGGATACTTCAATATAACGAATATACCTATAATACATACAAAAGTATTGGAAATTCCCTGTGAAAAGGACAGAATATCAATGTTAGTTTTCCTACCAGAGTCCCCTTATGCAATGGATTTGTTTTACTCCTTGCACAAGATTCAATTGATAACTGTGTATAAATTGTTCCAAAGAAACGGACCTAAATTAGTTAATGTTCAATTACCAAGGTTTAATATGACCACTGATATTGATAGTTTACCGGAATTGATCCATGACATGGGTGCTAAGAAACTATTTCAGCCGTATAGAGCTGAGTTCAAAGGTATTAGTGATTATCGTGTTTATGCATCTCTGATAACCCAGATAGCTAATATAGAAGTGTCCGAGTACGGTGTGAAAGCTGAGGTTGCGCTTGAGAACATGGTTTCTGATAATAATCCTGTAGATTTCATTGTCAATAAACCTTTCGCGTTTATGCTTGTAGATAAAGTAAATGATCTGATATTATTCGCTGGTGCGTATTCAAAGCCGTCACTGTTTTAGTCAATGAAACTCTTATTTATTTCTTTAGAACTATATTTAAAAATATCGTTATGTATTAGGTAACATTATGTCTAATATCACAATAACAGTGGCATAAGTTTAATTGAAAAATGATTATATTATGATACCATGATATTAATTAATAATAAGTCAATAATTAATAGAAATTATAACTTTAATTATATAAGAAAAGTGTATACAGATGTATTCAAATTTTGTATTTTATTTGTAATTATTTAATTATAGTAATAGAACATATAAAATTATATATGTCAGCAATAATATACAAATACTTTTTCTTTATTATTGTTAAATTAATAATAAGCTTAATTTACTATTCACAAGGAACCTTACAATAAACGTTCAAGTTGTTCCTTGTGAGAGTCTGGACTCTGAACTACGTCTAAACCTGTAATACAAATCACCAGGCTCTCTCTGAGGATTCCAGTATTATATTATACGTCTTTTAAAATATATATTTTGTGGAGGTAAAGTTATAAAAATTATAGTTTGAAGTATGGAATATATATGTATAACTCTAATTAAATGTTGGTGACTTTTATGTTACAAATTTTATATTCTATTTAACGTAATAATATAATCTGTATAATTTTAATTATACATTTTATACATAATATACAATATATAATTAAAATTATACAACAAAACTATACTGTGGTCTAATTATTTATTTTTAACTATTTCGCACATTGTTGTTACCGTTCGAAGAATTTAATTACTGTTTTTGAACACACGCATTGTTAAAACGTGATAAGTTTATCCTGGTTTCCTTTTGAGGATACCGGGAAAAACCGACATTTTAGGCAGTGAAATGAAATGATAAATGGCATCATCATAGTCGTCTGGAATGTTCTCTTACGGATGTCACGCAAGATAAGGTTGTACATCGTACATTGTATATAGAAAACGAAATCTGTTGTGTTGTACATGTATATAGAAAACTTACCATCATGTTGTTAGTTCGTTTACCATTCCAATTGCTTTAAACAATAGTTTCATTTTGAATTTTTTTACTCTTCGGCTTTGAATTTAAACAGAATTTTGCTTGCATTGCTGACTTTCTAGAATTATATCAGATTATCTCACCGTTGCTAAGAACTCCTTCATTTCAGAGATTAGCCGGAACAAACAAACAAAAAGTGTAAAAAATGTTATTTTGTTATAGGTCTGTACCGTATTCATATTCATATGCACGTAGAAAAAACCATTACTTCAATATTACAAACAGACACTCCAATTTTACTTATGTGTTTAGATGTAACTAGTAGACCCGGCCACGCGTTGCTGTGGCTAAGGTACTTGAATAAAAAATTGCGATTGTAAATTGAGATGTAAGCTCTTTCAAGTTGAATGAAATTGCACACAATGTGTAAATCAAATTTGCAATCGGTTCAGTAGTTTAGGAGTCCATTGCGAATAAACGACGTGACACGTAATTTTTATATATATATAACTAGCTGTACCCGCGACCTCGTCCGCATGGAATTTTATTTTATTTTTCTAAAATAAAAGTAGCCTAAGTTACTCCTTATTACATCAGCTATCTGCCAATAAAAGTCCCGTCAAAATCGGTCCAGCCATTTCAGAGATTAGCTGGAACAAACAGACAGACAGAGAAAAATTGTAAAAAATGTTATTTTGGGTGTATGAACCGTATTTATATGTAGTAAAAACGGTTATTTCAATATTACAAATAGACACTTTATTTATATGTATGGATGTATAGATAATTATAATTTGCATACCTCCTGAATATGAGGCGAAGATTTGTACCTAACACTGTATGTATGTGTATGTTCAAGTAAATAAATTATGTATGTATCTATATTTTTTTACCAAGTAAATACAATTAATAAATTAATTATTAATTAATACAATAATAATAATACAATTAATTTTTGAGAAAGTGCCCTACCGTTACAAATAGTTAAATTCACTAACATATCTCTAAGTCAACCTTCAAACTAAATTAAGCGGATGAATTAAGGGTTACTCACACATTACGTCATACTTTAAAATAGATAGATAAGAAATTTTATACGTATCATATAATAATAATATCTATAAACAATTCACACAACGTCATCTAGTCAGAAACTAAGCAGACCTTGTGTTAACTATACCAGAATGTGTTAGATATACTTAGATATTTTTTTTTGTAAATACATCTTATCGTCATCATTACATAGTATAAAACAAAGTCGCTGTCGCTGTCTGTCCGTCCATATGTATGCTTAAATCTTTAAAACTACGCAACGGATTTTGAAGCGGTTTTTTAGTAGATAGAGTGATTCAAGAGGTAGATTTATATATATAATACATGTACTAGTTATTAATATTATAAACGCGAAAGTTTGTTAGTATGGATGGATGTTTGTTACTCTTTCGCGCAAAAACTACTGAACGGATTTTGATGAAACTTTACAGGAACATAGCTTATGCATCAGAATAACATATAGGCTATATTTTTTATTGAAATTTAATGCAACCGCGGGCATAGTATATATAGAAAACACCCAGATAAGTACAAACAATCATACTCATGAATACAATTTGTACCGTGCGAATCGAATTCACGACCATCGAAAGCAAATCGAGGTGTTAACCCGCTAGACCACCGAGGCCGTGTTTCAATCATTTTACCAGCAGCTTCCATTCCCCCAATCTTATTAAAATAATATACATGTTGTTAAAATTGTAACATTTTAGAAGGTTACATTTAACAATGTACAATATACATTAAAACATAAACAAGTTACATATGCGCATATCAAAGACGTCAATCAGATTGTTATGACTGAAATTGTCAGTATTAATGTACCATAAAGTCAGTCAATTGAAGCGATTCTAGACCAAAATGGTCTGCTTTAATGGGTTGGGCAATTGTGCGCAACCAGCCATGGGAGACGACTGATTCAGTTGTGCTGTTCAGTATAACGATATTCAAATTCCCAAATACAGATAATATTCAGTGGATAATAATAATAATAATTTTAAATTATACCATAATGTAACCAGTTTTGGCGCAAAAAGTACGCAAATATGTGAATAATAATATTCAGAAAGAAATTTTGATTCAAGTTGACGGAAAGAGACGAAAGAATAAAAAACAGGGTCGAAAAACGCCTTTTTTTTTAAATAACTCGATAACGGTGAGACATATGATAAAATGTTTTAAATAAAAGTTGTACAGAAAAAAATTCTGCACAAAACAGGTTCTCTTAATTTTTTCAATATCTGCAGTTGTTTAGCCGCAAAAATTAAAAAACTAATTAACTAAAACTAACAGCTTTTCATTCCACAATCAATGTGCCTAATATTTATGTTCCTAATATGATTAGAGGAATCTTTAAATATTCCACGATGAATGAATTCTTGATAACAATTCACAAGATCAATTTCGAATTATTTCAATGTTGGCTGCAGGAACACAGCGTTCAAGCTCAAAATTCTGTTTGAGAGCCGAACAATTTTTTTACAGACTACTCTAATGCTGTTGGTCGCAATGGCCTTTACGCCTTCACCGGACGATAGAGGACGAGGAGTGCTATCTGCACTTCAAACCGAGAAGGACTTATGGGACAGCTGAAGGCCAGCTCCTGCCTAACGGATACGACTTTAGTCTGAGGGCACTGCTAATGATTCGAACCTTGGCACAGGGCATCGAATGTTCGATCCCCGTTTGAATTGAACGGGGGATCGATCGAAGGGTGGAGTCGGGCAGTCAATATATATATTTCAATAAAGCTTGAATGTTTTTAATGCAATTCCAAAGTCGTGAGTGATCATGCTTTTAATGTGTATGTGTCTACACTTGTAATATTTCTGCCGACACTTGAGACCCTTCCATTAGTTTACGTCTCCACTAACATAGATTTAAGTTAAGTGTAAAATCAGTCTACGACCCGGCTCCGCGTCGACTGTACGCGTTATTAATAAACCATGTAGCACACTACCAATAAACTTAATAATGTTTAATAAATAGTGCAATCATTTTACTGGTATACTCACTACCTACATACTACAATAAATAATAAATAATGCAGCGCCACCTCATCACAACATATATAACGCTACAGTGATGAGGATACCGCCGCGCTACAAATGCTTTGACATGCCTTATTTCAGACTAAAACAAAACAAGGCAAGTTTATAAGGCAAGTTGCTTGATGGCTGAAATATGTGAGACTAAATTACACCAACTCTGAAGACTTTCTATAGTCCATCTCTAGTTCTATATATATGTATATACATATATATAGAACTAGAGATGGACTATGTAATGATATATATCATTACATAGTATAAAACAAAGTCGCTGTCGATGTCTGTTCCTATGTATGCTTAAATCTGTCAAATTACGCAACGGATTTTGAAGCGATTTTTTTTAATGGATAGTGTGATTCAAGAGGAAGGTTTATATATATAATATATGTACACTCGTGCGAAGCCGGGGTGGGTAGCTAGTATATATCATTACATAGTATAAAACAAAGCCGCTGTCTGTACCTATATATGCTTAAATCTTTCAAACTACGCAACGGATTTTGATGGGTTTTTTTTAATAGTGATTGATTCAAGAGGAAGGTTTATATGTACACCCGTGCGAAGCCGGGGCGAGTAGATAGTATATATGTATGAGTCAAAATCAGAGAGGTGAGCATCATGCGTCTGAAAAAGTTTTTCCTAATGAAATAACATAATATTACAAATACATTTCTTTTAAAACAAAGGTTTTGTGCATAGTTAAACGGCATATAACATATTTATTTTCTGTAATGTATATTTATGTAATTTTAAACAATAAACAGGTAATAGTCATTTTGGGAATGCGTCTTTGTATCATGTTTCAGAGTTCAGACAAGTCAAAAATGTTTACGACTTAAAATCATTGTATTTTAATATTAGTTTATAAAATTATCTATTTAAAAATATTTGTATACATTACTTTAATACCAGTTTGTTTTTTTAATGTTTTGGCTATATAATTATATATATATTAATAGTGCGTCCGACTGGACTAGTAGTACTATGTATATATATATACTAGCTGTCCCGGTAAACGTTGTTTTGCCTTAAAATAAAAATAAAAATTAGGGGTGGACTACCCCTAACATTTTGGGGGATGAAAAATAGATGTTGGCCGATTCTCAGGCCTACTCAATACGCTCACAAAATTTCATGAGAATCGGTCAAGCCGTTTCGGAGGAGTATGGGAACGAAAACTGTGACACGAGAATAAGATATATTATATATACTACCTACCCACCCCAGCCTCGCACGGCTGTACATGTATTATATATATATAATTATACCTTCCTCTAGAATCACTCTATCTATTAAAAAAAACCGCTTCAAAATCCGTTGCGTAGTTTTAAAGATTTAAGCATTCATAGGGACGGACAGACAGCGACAGCGACTTTGTTTTATACTATGTAATGATATAACAGAGCCATCAAACGTATACCAATATATGCGTTCAACGGCTCTGGACTGTTCGACTATCAGTCAAACACGTGTTCAAACAAATTCTGAACATTTAACCATTTTATTACTTCTATTCAATATAATGCGATAATACAAGATTGTGATATGACAAATGTATAGGAATTTTGATAACATATATACTAATATTATTAATTCGAGGTGTGTATGTACGTTTGTCACGTATTTATCACTAAACACGTTTTTATTCATTAAATTTTATGTGAAGATAGATTGCATCAGGACGGATATAGGTTATAAGTATTTAATATTACAAATGCAGACTGTGTCGCGGGAATAAGCTAGTTTTATATGACGAGTGCGACGGCTAATATTTCAATAACAGCTACTCAAATATAATGTAAAATATTTGTTTTGTTTGTAACACATTATTGCACAGTAAATACATTTAAATTAACTAAAGATGCCAAAACTAGATTATGACTGGAACGAAGACGGTCATCAGTTCGTAACTGGAATCTTTTCTGCAGGTACAAGGGCAACTGGAGTTGTAAAGGATCTGGTATAAAAGAGTAAGCAAATGGATGTTACGACGGTCACGAATAGGAAGCCAATTAAGGTGCTTAAGATAGATAAAGACATAATCAAACTTACGTAAACCGAAGTTGAATCTTATGCTTACGCTCCAGTTTATCAAGTAGCTCTACTGAAAGATCTAGGGAGGCACTGTCGGCATAGTCCAGCAACGGAAGAAGGAGAGAGTAAGCTAGCAGAAATTTTGTACGCAAAGGCAGAATAAACTGAAGGCGTCTAAGCGAGTGGAGTGAAAAAAAGTCTACGACTTATTTCACCAATGTGAGGGTACCCCTCCGATCGATACCCCGTCCAAATCAAATGGGGATCAAAATTACAAAGGCCTGAACCGAGATTCAAATCCCTAGCAGAGCCCTTAGACTAAAGTCGTATCCGTCAGGCAGGAGTTGGCCTTCAGCCGCTCCATAAGTCCTTCGGATGGGAATGAAAACTGTGACACGAGAATTTTATATATAAGATATAAGATAATAATATTAATAACAGAAAATATTATTTAATTATGAAATTAGATTTAATTTAATTTCTTAATCCTCGTCGCAAACAGATAGGTGTAATAACTTTTGTTTTTTGTTTGTATCTATCTGTAACTCCTAAACTAATAGACCCATTATGAAACTTCTTTTTTTGTTCTAAAGCAAACGCGAAATAAATGATTCTTAGCAATTTATTAGTCTTTTTTTATTAGGGGGTTAATTTTACAATGTTTATTTTACCTTAATACTAGAAAATATCACTTATCTCTTTCTCTCCAGGTGAGCTGCATAAGTACCTATCACAGAGTACCTTACTTTACTAGATAAACTATGTTTAATCTTACCACAGATAACATAATATTACATAATCTTATTAATATTATAAATGCTGAAGTTTTGACTGTGGGTGGATGGATGGATGTTTCACGAAAAAACTACTAAATGGGTTTTAATTAAACTTTACAGTAATATAGGTTATAATATCAGAATAATTCAAATTCAAATTCAAAAATCACTAATTCATGTAGGACATTTTAGCCGCTTATGAACGTAAAATTTTTTATATTCTAATTTAATTTTTTTCCCCACCATCAGATGGGCCGTATGCTTGATTCGTAGTATATAAAAAAGCTATAACATAAAAAGACATGTTTATTTTTTCTTTTATACATTTTTAATGTTTTACGATTATTAATATATAATTTTACTTTTTATTATTTATATACTTTTTCTCTTGATATTATTATTTTTATTTTAATTGTATAATATCTGATTTATTAAGTTAATGTTTACGTATTTTTTAATTGTAATTATGCGTGTCCGTACTGAGGGCCCAACTGAAAATCAGCGCTGGAAACTGTTTCCAGCATTATGCTGAGTTGTGGTCCACATTGACTCCGTTTTTTAATGTGTAAATTATTCTTGTATCTCTTATGTTATTACTGTAAAAACGAGTTAATAAAATTCTATTCTATTCTACATGTATGTATGTAAATTGGGTAAAATATTTGTTATTTTGTATATTGAGTAATAGGTTTTAATAAAACTTAACAATTAATATAAGTTTATACATAAAAATAATACAGGTAAATGTAACAGTTATATAAATTATACCTTTATAAGTTTTTTTATATAATAATTATACCCTGTTTTATAGAAAACTAGCTGTGTCTGCGGTTTCACTCGCATGAAATTTATAGCCTATGTGTTATTCTGATGTATAAGCTATATTGATGTATAATTTCAATAAATTCCGATTATTAGTTTTTGCGTGAAAGAGTGACAAACATCCATCCATACATACAAATTTCGGCGTTTATAATATTAATAAGATTAATATATCATTGAAATGCAAATATCAATATGAGTATAGGCACAGCGATCACGCAGAACAAGTATACGGAGGTCCTGGGTTCACATTCGGAGATGATGACGAATTGTTCATTCCATAACGAATCATTGTTACTCAGAGGCACTTCTAACACCACCTGAAATGAAATGACAAATCTATATTTGACGGCCCCGGTGGTGTAGCGGTTTAAGACACTGCTTTATTTCCGATGATCGCAGGTTCGATTCGCACGGTATAAATATTTGTATTTATGTGTATGATACAAATACATAGATGATTATTTAAAAATTTTAAGATTTTTTTAGGCACTAAAAATACATGTGATGTAGGGATGGGAGAGGGTTATCCTAAACGTTACTACGTCTACCAAGGGACAGGGGGTGTTAAAAATGCTAATAAAAGATCACGTGATTAATGGGGTAATAAAACGTAACCCTTGACGTAATAAAATTTTAACATAGGTTTAAAACTAACGTAAAACTTACTTTTTGACTTGAAAATATATCCAACGATAGGTCACATCTTTCTGTACTGTTCTTGCATTCCCTCAATGCGGTTCTTGCGACGTCATACTTTGTTTTTTGGAGGTCAAATTTGGCTCTGATGAAGTTGGTCTGCACCTCGTTTTCTGAGTTGAAAACAAAGAAATAATATCCATTTGTTGGGACCCTAGAATAGAATAAATAATCAAACTATTGTTTTATACAACTGTACCTCATATCGAATAATCATTTGGTGATATTGGTAGTTTGGCGGTTTAGCACACCGACTTACTTTAATAGGTCGCAGGTTCGATTCCGATTTACGATTGAGGGATGCGAGCTCCAAGTACCAAAAAGTATAATTGTTTGTTTTAATTTAGGTTTACTATGTAAATAAAAATAAATGTTTAAATATTTATATCTTTTGATTAGTACCGATTTTTTTGTAAATTTTTAAATTCACACACAGTGACCAATACAAACAACCATGCTTATGAACACAAATGTCTGAACTGTACAAGGGTGTAGAAATGAATACGCTACCATGAGAAGTAAGACCTAAACAATAGACCATCGAGACTTTCATAAAAAAGATAAGTGACAATCCTATAAATAGGAGCATTAAATTGTGAGTAGCAGAGCGGTATATTAAACCTCTATACCATTAGACCGTCAAAAAAGAAATAAAAAACATATGAGACAAACCCATAAGCATGAGCTTTAGATTGTGGGACGAAAAGCGGTATACTAAAACTCTGGACCATTAGGCTGTCATAAACAAAGATAAGACACGAACCTATAAGTAAGAGCATTAGATTGTAAGAAGTAAATCGGAATGCTAAATCTCTAGACGATCAGAACATCAAAAAAGATATGAAAAAGATAAGTGACAAACCTATAAGTAAGAGAATTAGGTTGTGAGAAACAGAGCGGTATACTAAACATCTAGATTATTAGACCATCAAAAAAGTTATTCAAAAAATAGGTGACAAACCTATAAGTAAAAGAATTAGATTGTGAGAAGCAGAGCGGTATACTAAATTTCTAGACCAGTTACAAAAAGATAAGAGACAAACCTATAAGTAAGAGCGTTAGACTGTGCCGCTGACATCTTTTCCTCATCTGTAGCGTGAGTGTTACATGATGGATGTGGTGTTAGAGGCAGGTTGAGGATCAGACCCTCGCATTCCAATAGAGCCTCCTCACTGCTGGAGAATGACGACCAGAACTCTGAATTGCTCATGTCGAATGCTGTGGTTTCATTTACTTGCTCATGATGTTCAGCGTATCCATCCGGCTGTAGGTCCTGAAATGGAAACAATATTTAATATACTTTTTTTATGGTAATTATCAGATCGGCTGTCAGTTTGTTTGCGATTCCAGTGATATAAATACATACATGAAAAATATTGTATAGGTAAGGATATTGGGAGGATGAATCTAAAGATTTTTCTTTAATTTTAACTTTTAGTATCGGTGATCTAGTTGTTTAGCTTATACTTTACTTTCAATGGTTGCGAATTCCATTCCTCGAACGGATCAAGATAATAATAAAGGTATGCCTTTGTTAGTATTGATTTCAGTATTTTCTAAATGACGCGGTAGATGTTGTATTGCCATAAAAATTAATATCGCTATAAACCTTCCTGTACTGCATTAAAATCCGTTGCGTAGTTTAAAAGATATAAGCGAACAGACTGTTAAAGGGAGTTAATTTTATACTATGTAATGATTATGTTATACAAAGTAAAATGTAAAACATAGTAATTTTATAAATTTACGTATAAATATATATATGTATGTATGTATATATAGCATGTATGTATGTATAGCTAACCCGGCAAACATTTTACTGTATAAATTGATTTATATCAATTTATACAGTAAAATGTTTGTCGTAAAATAAAATGTAATGATGATGATAGTTATCTATCATCATCATCATTACCTTGCCTTTAACCCATTACACAATAACTATAGTATTAAAAAATTTATGATAGACGGGTGATAATTTAGACAAACGTAGTGTAGGACGCCCCGCAGCTACGACATACGTAGGGTTGCGGGTAAAAACTGGAAGAGAAGGAATGAAGATCGTGTCCAGTGGCGTGCTTTGAGAGAGGCCTATGTCCAGCAGTGGACTGCAGTGGGCTGATGATGATGATGATGATGGGTGATAATTTAGGAGTGTATATATTGTTTAATGTCGAATCATAAAAAAATATGTCAAAAATTAATTAATTTAATAACAATTATGCGCATAAGATATTATACAAATACGAAATTTTTATTTTTTATTTCGAGTTTGCTTTCACCACAATGATATTTGACAGTGTTTCTGACTACCCCATTTAGGGTAAGTCGTGAAGCTATGTTATTGTTATTAGTAATGTTTACCTCTTCAGCAGCATAATTCCTGGCTTCATCGTCATCATTCAACTGTTTCTGAAGTTCAATTTGACCTAACATCAGCTCTCTCTTCGCACGAGCTTCATTCATAGCATCATGGCGTTTTTCTGAAATAACAATAATATGCTGACATTTCACAGCGCCATCTAGTTCCAAGATAAGTAGATATTGTGTTATGTGTAGATAGATAGATAACATAGATATATAATAGTTTTTATTTCTATCTTAATAAAAAAGAAAGAACCAAATCGGTTTCCACTCAGCTTTGTGTCTGGGCTGTAATGCCCAAACGCTGATTTTCACACATATATAGCCTAAGTTACTCCCTCATCAGCTACCTGCCAAAAAAAGTCCAGTTAAAATCGCTCCAGCCATTTCAGAGATTAGCCGGAACAAACAGACCGACAGACAGACAGACAAAAATTTTAAAAAGTGGCTTTTTGGTATATGTTCCGTATTTATATTCGTATGCATGTAGTAAAAAACGGTTATTTCAATATTAAAAACAGACACTCCAATTTTATTTATATGTATAGATTGTACACTTGAAAAACTTAACAATAATAACTTATACGTATAATTAGTAAAAATCAAGGGATCGAGCGAGGTGGTTCCTCTCGATCCCCGGGTCATGACCCCCCTGACCCTCCCCCTGGATTCGCCGTTGCCTGCATGTGTGTGCTACAGCAATACAAAACTGCTACACAGCTCAGTGTGTAGAATCACTCAAGGAGCAAAACATTGATTTTCAGCTATGTTCTCGAGGGTGAATAATGTACTTTTTTTATAAACTAAAATGAACCACACTAGACAACTTATACAAATAATCATACTCATGAATACAAAATGTTCTCGTGCGAGGAATCGAAGTAACACGGTTATATATTCATACATATATATTGTGGAAAACAGGCCACTTATTTTTAAATAGGTCATAGACAAATCTCGAAATCGAAAACCAATATAATTAAAACAATACAATACCATAGAATTTTTACGTAAATACATACATATTATACATAGAAAATACTCACATCGATACAAATAATCATACTCATTAATATAAATGTTTGTAATGTGCGAGGAATCGAACCCACGACTATCGGAAGTAAGGCAGTGTGTTAACCGCTAGACTATCGATGTCGTCGAGGTAATAGAGTTCATTTTAGATTCTAAGCTGTATCACATGATAACGTGATGTCCGTAGTGCTGTTCATGTATATATAGGCGGTGATTACCATTTACCATCAGGTAATGGTTTATCAATTATATAAAAAAAAAGTCTGATCGCATTAAAAACTTACGCTGTCTCAGAGATCTGGTCTTTTCCTCGTCTATGGCCTCTACCAAGATGTTCCGCAGTCTATCCAGTTCTTCGCTGCTCCCTGTCAATACTGACATTATATCCGATTTAGTTGGTCTTCCAGGTGCGGGCTGTAATATTATATAGTTAGATAAATTACATATATATATAGATTATACATTAGCATCCCCTATTACTCATTAAAAAATACTAACATGCGGGTTTATTTAATTAACAACTATATACACATATTATACATATTATCCTTTCAAAGAAATAACGAAAAGGTTAGTCGACATCACAGAAGACCGAAGAGCTGGCAGCTACCTTGGACAAAGAATTAGTCTAGCCATTCAAAGAGGGAACGCTGCCAGTATCTTCGGAACGTTGCCTAAAGGGACCCCTTTTAATAATATATTTTAGTCATCATATTATATTTATTTTTTTAAACTTTTTAATTTTAGGTTCTTAGTTGTACAATTAGGTTATGTAAATACTTATACATATAAATATATGTTGTTTAAAACAACAAACCATTATTAAATAAGACCTGGCATATAAATAATAATAATCTCAGGACAATTCACACAGCGCCATCTAGACCCAAATTAAGCTATTTAAAGCTTGTGTTATGGGTACTAGATAACTGATACATATACATAGATATATTTTTTTGTAAATACATACATATTATACATAGAAAATACCCAGACCGTTACAAACAATCATACTCATGAATATAAATGTTTGTGCCGTGCGAGGAATCGAACCCGCGACCATCGGTCATACAGCGGTATGCTAGACCGCTAGACCACCGAGGTCGTTAAATATATCGTTAAATATATATATATATATTATTTAAATTTAAAAATGAATCTGTATTATTGTAAACATGTACAACATTTATTTGAAAATAATACGAAATGAGTAGCTTGTCAGATTTTTTTTTAGTTTCTTTTAAATAGTAAAAAAAAAATCAAAGGCACATATTCTTACCTCTACATATTCCAGTCCCAAGGTTTCGTGTAGTCTGGACAACACTCTCTTCCCTCTATCGCCCAAGGCTTGCAGTTTTTTAAGAACATCTTCAAAAACTTCCTTTGAATTTATCTCCTCAGCATGTGGATTCTGTAATGTTATAATTAACTCTTTTAATTAATCCCTGATAATTAATTTCGTGTTTTTAACTTGACATTCAATCAAGTCATCAATATTTGTGTTACCGAGGTATATTATAGTATATTATTTATTCAATTATATTAATATTAATGAATATTTAAATTAATATTTATAGATGTACTAGCAATATACTGGATAAGCTAGTAGAAGCACGACTTATAATAGATGGTAGAGCCATGTCATGAGGAGGCCGGAAGGACCACTAGACGAGAAAAATTCTCGACCTCAATTCAGGACCGAAAAAGCGTGGACGACGATTAACATGGATGTCAGTAGTAAGGACCTTGGATCAAATTGCACACAATGTGCAAATCAAATTTACAATCGGTTCAGTAGTTCAGGAGTCCATCGCGGACAAACAACGTGACAAATAATTTTTATATATAAAGATTTACACAAAGTTATCTGCGACACAGACAACCCTATCTCAGTTGCGCCTATAAGAAATAGGTGAGACGTTAGTGTGTGTATTACCGAGGTATATTATATTATTTATTTAATTATATTATAATTAATGAATATCTAAATTAAGATTTATAGTTATACTAGCAATAACTAGATACCCTATATTGGATAAGCTAGTAGAAGGACGACTTAGATGGTAGAGCCATGTCATGAGGAGGCCGGAAGACCACTTTACGAGAAAAGTTCTCGACCTCAATTCAGGACCGAATTAACATGGATGGACCCCGATTAACATGGATGTCAGTAGTTAGAAAGGACCTTAAGGACAACGGAAACATAGAGCCGGCAACAGTCCAAAATAGACACCACTGGAGAAGACAGATTAGGAGAGCCGACCCCAAATGAAAATGGGATAAGGCCAGAAGAAGAAGAAGTTTTACTAGCAAACACGGCCACGCGTTGCTGTTGTTAAGGTTCTTGAATAAAATAATATTGCGACTATAAATTAAGATATAAGCTATCCTATCTTTCAAGTTGGATCAAATTGCACACAATGTGCAAATCAAATTTGCAATCGGTTTAGTAGTTTAGGAGTCCATTGCGGACAAACAACGTGACACGTAATTTTTATATATTATTATTTAATTAATGTTTTAATACGGACAATGGCATTATAATGATTGACTTTCAATGAGAAGGTTTTAATTTTAATGAAATTTTGTAACGTACATTTACTGTTTATAGGACATTTTGACATTTGCATTACATTACTGTGAGGTCCTGTGCCTAAATTGCAATGCACTTACAGGGCGTTAAAAAAAATTGTAGAAACCAAACCATACTCTGTTTGCATGTGCTTTACATTTTTTTGATACTGCAATAAATATATATAAAATACTAGCAGACCCGGCCAACGTTGCTGTAGTTAAGGTTAAATAATATTGCGACTATAAATTGAGATGTAAGCTATCCTATCTTTCAAGTTGGATCAAATTGCACACAATGTGCAAATCAAATTTGCAATCGGTTCAGTAGTTTAGGAGTCCATTGCGGACAAACAACGTGACACGTAATTTTTATATATAAAGATTAACACGAGTTATATGCGAGAAAGACACTCCCATCTCAGTTGCGCCTAGAAATAGGTGAGATAGAAATATTAGTCTTTGCTACCAAGCCTTTTTTGTGATCTGTTTCTGTATCAACAGTGGGATGTGGCAATTAGCTTATTGGTTTCTAAGTTATAACATCTTTCTTGTCCGAAATAGAAACGGAAACATCGTCAAGTATATAGTCGACGAAACAGTCATCGAGTGGTAAAGGGAAATTCACTTTCTGTAAGATAATCTGTTTATCATTTCGTTCGTCATTCTAATTATATTAAAATTGTTTCAAGTTCTAAATATATCGATGACATTAAGGGTTATTTAAATAAAATATTTATATTTGATTTACAAGTAATAAACAAACATACATATAATACGTATATATAGTTTGATTAAGGAAATTGTTAGGACACTTGATATTGCACTATGACTTTATGAAAATTATTATTGAGGAAAAAATAGAGGGGGAGGGGAAGACTATGCACAGCAAATTAAAGACAAAATTCGAGTAATGTCGTATCAATATTTAAAGAGCTAAATTATGGAAAGTGGCAAGAGCTCCAAAAGCGTGACTCTTAAGTTATGAATTAATTAATTGTCTGATTAAATCAGAATTATCTTTTACCTGTGTGGTATATGCAGCATTAGTAACTGTTAATCCAACAGTACTAGTTTTAATTTCCCCATAGTTCTTACCAATATATTCTTTAACAGTATCAGTTTTAACTATTGGTTTATTGACATTACCAGTAACAGTACTAGCTTCATTGTTACTATTTTCATTAACATTTGGTTTGGTAATGCTATTTTTATTTTTATCTTCAGGAATTTCAGTTGTAGTCTCTAATTTATTGTTAATTATTTGTTTATCATTTGTTTTGGTATTGTTACCATCAATATCTGGAATAGAATTAATCATTTTGTTACACAATCTTAGTTGTAAAGGACGAAAACCAGGTATAATATACACAATAATACTAAAGTTAATGAATTTACCAAAAAATAAAGCACATACGATATAGTTCACAGTTATATAAATAGAGTGTATAATTTCTATATCCACTAGAGTTTACCGCAATATCGTGAATTTATTAGTCAGGTCAGTTCGTGCATCATGGCGAATTCTTCACCAATTAACCGCAATGAGCTAATTAAACTAGTCTAGTGGTTTATTACCATGATTTACACTCAAGAAGTCATGAGCTCAAAATTGGCAAACACAAAAAAAGCTAGGTGAGTCAGTTTATATTTCCGATTGGCCGGAGAGGTGAAGGAAATACAGATATCAAACCAAAAAATTTCGACTGCTATATTTAATACCGAACGAAATGTTGGTATGTTAAGTGTTGTGTTCACTACATCGACAGTTGACAATGTCTCTGATTACCCCGTCAAAGTTAACAGTCGTGTCGGTAGGTTTTTTATAACTAACACATCTGATTTCATTGTTATCTGTTACCCTGGCGTGTGTATACATTTAGCAAAGGCAGATACACAATACCATATTCATCCATAAAAATATCAGTACAGAAGTACGGAATGGTTGTAAACACAATAAATTAATTTGATAATACATCAATAAATACAGTAACAGTTAAAAGACTTTTCATTCTAGAACATAATAAAACACTATATCCAATTGCAAACAACGATATAATTGACTAAGTCCTTATCTTTGTAAACCTATATAATGTAGATACACTCAATATATTAAGTACAAGAGAATGTTTCTCTTGTACTTTTCCATAAACTACTAAAGATTTATTTGCTTTAAAACTTTCGCTTAATGATTGATAGTATTAAATGGAAATTAACACATTGTAATAGTGATATTTACAAGGGCGTTCTGTCTGCGCTGATCTGATTTACGTAGGTTATTACGCAAGGATGTATCTATATTAATATTTCAAAGAGGTATAGTAAGGACGTTCTTAGATGTGATTTTGAAAAGGATTTTCAAAATCACATCTGTAGTATCAGATATCACACAAGATACATCTGTAGTATCAGATATCAGATAGTCTATTTATAGAGACAGACATTATATTATACTACGAATATCAGGAAAAAAGCTTCAATGAAATTGTTCAGTAAAAACAGGGAGTATGTGATACAAATAATGTCTAACCAAAAACTGCTATATTTCTGACTGACTAGACTTGACTTGAAGTGAAAACCCTAATGACGGACCAAATTACGCCACTAGACGGGGGGGAGATTCCTGCTATTAACGTATATAGGTGATGGTTCCTTTATTATTATCAGGGTATTTGCCAATGCATTAAAAGAATATCACATTCCTAACTTAGCTAGTTTTCGTACCTTTGAAATATATCCATCTCCTTTCATCTCTATCGACGTTGGTATCCCTATGTCTGTGCAGGCCAGGTAATGCCATCAAGTGAGAAGGTGGCTTGTAGTACTTTAAGGATTCAGTCTTCGCCGCTTGTCGTAAAGCATGAAGACGCTCTAATATTTCTCTTAATTCCTAAAAAACATCAACAAAACTCATCATCAGCTGCCTCATCCTTATCCCATTTATTTAGGGTCGCGTACTATGTTTTTCTCTTTCATTCATTCATCCCTGTTTGCAGTCATCTCGTTATCTACTATCTTTCTTACATATCATCTTTCACACAGTCCATCCATCTATTTTTCGGCCTTCTTCGGCCCTTCTAAGCATCCACACGCATATGTAACAGCTTTAAAAAAATATAAACAAAACTATACCGAGCGAAATACGTAAGTCAAGTGCTACTTTCACCGCATCCACAGTTGTTAATGCCTTCGACTATTTATCTGGTATAGCAGTCGTGACGGTAAGTGTTTGTCTGTATATATTGAGTGGATAATCAAGCAGTAAATACAATTTAATTTTTTTATTATTAATGGCCTTTTCAATGACGTCACAATCAAAGTCGTACAATGTGTCATCACTGCCTTAGCTAAATGTTAATGCCTGATAATCTCATCACCAGGTTTAAGCTAGCATTAAGATATTGTTGGGTAAGTAAAGTATTTGCGTCATATGTTCACCGATGATGAACACTGATAATAATTATTTGACCATACCTTGGGATCGTGATCCGTGACGTCAACAGTCGGTATGTTATCCGATGACGTCACATTTGCAACATTGCTAGGATCATGAAAGCTTACTCCAGCTTTGTGGCGTTTCATTGCATCTGTAATAATTTGACATTTCGAATTGCTTTTCATTTTTCAACCGAAATCTTTAAACTGAAACACAGCTAGACGCTAGAACATCGATGCTACGTGGCCAGTCAGTCGGTGTTTTAAGATATACTTTGTTGCAGCAGGATCTGCGTAATTTATCCTACGTTTCATCGTCATGTCATCCTATGGAGACATGCCCCAGAAAATGCAAACGAGTACAGTGAGACTCCTACTTACTAAAAATGTCAAAATATCTCTCCTACACTATTTCTGTGAGTCGTGAAATCAGTACAGTCTGATGTGACTCCGACGGCGGTGATCTACCGGCGTACCCCATTTTTGCGGGTTGCCTTTAGATACAAAGTCCTCATCTAATTCAATTTTGTAAACTGTTTGATTTGACAGTACTAGATACATTGCTATTCGGACACATAAGATGATATGATGATTGTGCAAGTTATACTCCTCTATATTGGCGATGGTTGCATTTTCCATCAGGTAGGTATTTTTTTTCTATTCAAGTCTTTTTTACTCTGAGTTAAATCTTAATCAAACTTACCAGGTTGATTTGCCTTTCCGTCAATTTTGTTTAGCACCTGTATTTTTTCTATCAGTTCAGCGTTAGATATCAATCCAAGCTTATTCGCTTCCATCAGCTCATCTAGTTCTTCTGAGGAGTCGTCTCCGATATATGCGCAGTCCTTGAGGTGTTTGTAACCTTTAATCATTATGAGGGATGCTCCAGGCCACCTGAGAGAAAATGTTTTACTAAGCGAAAGGACAATGTCCTTCTTTTGGAAAAGGCCCTGTTATGTGATGGGGACAGTTCTGGGGAATAATTTATAGTGGGCTAACTTGAGCTCGCTTAATGAATAATTGACAGCCTCGGTTTAGCACATCGGTTTACTTCCGATGGTCGCGGATTCGATTCCTCGTACGATGAAAACATTTGTATTCAAGAGTAACATACTCTTGTATCGGTCTGGGTGTTTTCTGTGTACTTATTATTTATAAATAGCGTGTGGTGTCGCTGTAAGAATAGCACCACCCCCTCTCTTCCCGTGGGTGTCGTAAAAGGCGACTAAGGGATTCATCGACCAGTGGACGGGCAGCAGCGTCCTACTGAGTACCTACCATCATACTGCGATCGCCAACCCGCATGCCAAGCGTGGCGATTATGGCAATATCCCCCCAAATGAATTTACACCCAAGGCCCCGGCCCCCAGTCCCCGGCGGCCCCGCTAGTCTTGACCATGGTAGCGGTCATGGAAACGGCGGGGCAGGGGGTGCGAAGAATCTCCGGGTAAGACCAGGCTACCACAAACGACGACCACTGGCCCTGGCAACATACAACGTTCAAACACTGCGGACCGACGAAAAGTTAATTGAAGGAAGAGGTGAGCAGATTGCACTGGCATGTCGTGGGATTATCTGAAGTCCGAAGAAAGGGGGAGGACTCGATAGTCCTGAAATCCGGCAATCTGCTTTACTTCCGGGAGGGCGATCAACTGTCCCAAGGCGGTGTCGGGTTCCTCGTCCACAAGTCCCTTGTGAATAATGTTATCAAGGTCGAGAGCGTGTCGACTAGGGTAGCGTACCTGATACTCAGAATTACCAAACGGTATTCATTGAAGGTCATCCAAGTGTACGCTCCAACTTCGACGCACTCCGACGATGAGGTTGAGGCTATGTATGAGGATATCTCCAGAGCCATTAGTCATTATAGCGTTATCATGGGGGACTTTAACGCAAAATTGGGCAAACGAAGCGGTGATGAGCTGAGAGTGGGGCAATTTGGTATCGGTGATCGGAACTTAGGTCAAATGCTGGCCGACTTCATGGAGAAGGAGAACCTCTTTATGATGAACTCCTTCTTCAGGAAGCCGGAACACCGGAAATGGACGTGGATTAGTCCCGATGGTGCCACAAAAAACGAGATAGATTTCATCTTGTCAACGAGAAGACAGATTTTCAATGATGTCTCTGTGATCAATGCCGTCAAAATTGGAAGTGATCACCGGATTGTAAGAGGCACATTGAATCTGAATCTGAAACTCGAACGATCCCGACTGATGAAATCTACGCTCCGCCCTTTTATACAGATCCAAAACCCCGAAAGCTTTCAGCTAGAATTGCAAAACCGTTTCGAAAGCCTTGGTGACTGCGTTGACGTGGACGATTACAACAACAGGTTCGTGGAAACTGTCCGTGCGGCTGGGTCTAAGCACTTCAAAACCCGCCGCGCAGAAAGAAGAAAAATATCTATCTCTACCCTCAAATTGATGGATGAAAGGCGAAGTATGGTCCTGCAGTCTCCGACTGACGCTTCTCAGTATCGGCAACTTAGCAGGCAGATCTCTAAGTACTTGACTCGTGACTTACGCCACTTTAACACAAATTGTGTAAAGGAGGCTATTGAGAGAAACAAGGGCTCAAAAGTCTTTAACAGGGATCTGGCTGCCGGACAGAGCCAGCTGACGCGACTTAAGACGGATGACGGCAGGATCGTTTGTCTAAACCCGAACTTTTTTGAGAAGTTCTATGGACAGTTATACACGACAACACGGGCACCTGTTAACAACATGGCGAAAGACCCAAAGAGCCAAATTAACCCGACACTATACCGAAGATATCCCGGACGTCAGCCTGTACGAGATTGGTATGGCTCTTAAACAACTTAAAAACAACAAGGCGCCGGGCGATGATGGAGTTACTTTGAGGGCTGGAGGTAGACCTGTTCTACGAATCCTCCAGAAGACTCCGTCATCCTCGAGGGCAAATCGCCTCAAGCATGGCAAAGGGGTGTGGTGGTTCTGTTCTTCAAGAAGGGAGACAAATCGCTTCTGAAGAATTTCAGACCCGTAACACTGCTGAGCCATGTTTATAAGTTGTTTTCGAGAGTCATCACGAATCGTCTCGCGCGCAGGTTTGACGACTTCCAGCCTCCCGAACAAGCCGGGTTCCGAAAAGGCTCAGTACCATACATTCATACGCTGCGGCAGGTAATTCAGAAGACCGAAGAATACAACCTGCCACTTTGCTTGGCGTTTGTGGACTATGAAAAAGCCTTTGATTCGATCGAGACGTGGGCTGTGCTACAGTCTCTCCAGCGGTGCCAAATTGACTATCGATATATCGAAGCGTTGAAATGTTTGTATGAAAACGCCACTATGTCAGTTCGCCTCCACGACCAGAATTCGAAGCCTATCCAACTGCAGCGAGGTGTCAGACAAGGCGATGTCATATCGCCAAAGCTGTTTACCGCTGCGTTGGAAGATGTCTTCAAGCTTCTGGACTGGAGCGGGCTGGGCATCAACATTAACGGCGAGTACATCAATCACCTTCGATTTGCCGACGATATCGTTCATGGCTGAGACCCTGGAAGACCTTAGCAAAATGCTCGAAGACCTCAGTAGAGTCTCACAAGGAGTAGGTCTTAAAATGAACATGGACAAGACGAAAATTATGTCAAACGTCCATGTCGTACCTGCTCCCGTAAAAATCGGAGATTCTACACTCGAAATTGTCGATCACTACGTATACTTAGGGCAAACTATCCAGCTAGGTAGATCCAATTTCGAGAAAGAGGTCAATCGTCGAATCCAACTCGGATGGGCAGCGTTCGGGAAGCTCCGATATATCTTTTCGTCCAAATTTCCGCAGTGTCTCAAGACGAAGGTTTACGACCAATGTGTGTTGCCAGTGATGACTTACGGAACAGAGACGTGGTCGCTAACTATGGGCCCCATCAACAAGCTCAGAGTCACTCAGAGGGCAATGGAGAGGGCTATGCTCGGAGTTTCTCTGCGTGATCGAATCAGAAATGAGGAGATCCGCAGAAGAACCAGAGTGACCGACATAGCCAGAAGAATTGCGACTTTGAAGTGGCAATGGGCAGGGCACATAGCTCGTAGGACAGATGGCCGTTGGGGCAGTAAAGTCCTCGAGTGGCGACCACGGACCGGAAGACGCAGCGTGGGAAGGCCTCCAGCAAGGTGGACCGACGATCTGGTCAAGATCGCGGGAAGGCATTGGATGCGAGCAGCGCAGGACCGATCGTCGTGGAGATCTTTGGGGGAGGCCTATGTCCAGCAGTGGACGTCTTCCAGGCTGCGATGATGATGATGATGATTATTTATAAAAAAAATGTATTCAAGTATTTATTTATCAGTTAGTAAGTACCTATAAAAGAAGCTCTGATTAAGACTAGATGAAGCTTGTCCATTGTGGACAATGGACAGCATCAGGTTATTATAATTATTAATACTATTATTTTATTATTATATTCCCTATTCAAATAAACTCAACATAAGTACTTTTGAATAGTCATATTTTTTTATCATACCACTCATTTGGAAAGAAGACTCAACATGAGAAAACGAGCAAGAAATTTGCGTATTTCTCTATCAAATAAATATTGTTCAGCATTTTATTCTAAGACTTTGTGTGGATACAAAGAACAAACTGCCAAATAGCAAAATTCACAAAAATATATATAATAAATAAATAGTTACTTCAGTAACAAAAATTGATCATAGAGATAAAGGCTGACCAGTCTCTACTAGCAATACAGTCGTCTTCCAGTGGTGTTCCGCTAGCGTACCTATATCCTTACCGATGGAATCTTTCCATGCATCACAATATGTTTAGACCGACTTCTTCATGCTATTAATTTATACAGTTTACACTATATTAAAAAAATTAAGCCCTAATACTGACCTCACGCAAGTGGAAACAGTAACAGTGGACCCCTTCAACAGGTAGAATCCCCAGTATTCCTTCATGTCATCCTCCAACTCAAGTTCCCTGGTCATCGTCACCGGCACCAAGTCCTGGGTGAGTTGAGGAGGACCAGGTACAACGAACGCGTTGAAAGTCGTATTCGATTTCACCACCTGCCTCTATAGAAATAAGAATTTATGAATAAGGGATTCGAAACGAAAAGTGAAAATTATATTAGCAAGTGTTTAAGTTGAGCTGAGAAGGTTTCATTTCAATATCAACATACAATGTATATTACAATATGCTTACATTATAAAATAAACTTAGCTTACAAATTACGAGCTTATAAAAATACGAGTGTTTGCCATTCCACTCGTGTTCGTATTTTTAATATTCATGACCTATTTTCAGTTACAAGTGCAATAAACATAATAGTGTATTATTATATATATATTGGACATCAGTCCTTTTTTAGCCTCGATTATAGTCTACATGAACACATTGTAATATGAAGAAAATAGAATAAAAAAATGTTCTTCATCAATAAGGATATTTCTTTATTCTATTTTTTTTTGATACCATTCAGTTCACGATATACATGGTTTATTTTCTTAATATTTTTTTATGGATGATAATGGAATAGCACCCGTCACGGTTTAGGCTGGCGGGGCACCAGTGGAGGATGACAACATGAACATGAGGTGAGAGATCAGTTAGCCCATCGTGGCAAATTCACAAGAAATTTATCACGATGTTTTCCAGGGAGAACCGCGTGGAGGTCAACCTGATATGGTACATTGCTAGTAATGGGGTCATGAGTTCACATTACTAACAATCTATTCCCCTTATTTTCTTTATATTATTATTTCGTTTATGATGATGGAATATGTCTGATGTAACAAGAGATCTGAGGTTATATAGAAGATTCAAAATATAAATAAGGAAAGTAAATAGATTCTAGACATCTTGATTAGATCAACACGATTTTATTAGCTAGGTGCAAGTAGATCTACACTAAATTGTAAGTTTGAAGTTGTTATTTTTCATGAATATACTCATAAAAAGTGTATTATTTTAACTACTCTAATGCTGTTGGCCGCAGCTGGCCTTTACAGCTTCACCGGACCATAAAAGGCGAGAGCAGATGGCACTCCAAACCCGCGGAAGGACTTATGGAGCGGCTGAAGGCCAACTTCCGCCTGACGGATACGACTTTAGTCTAACGCCACTGATAGGGGTACGAACCTCGGCTCAGGGCGTCATAATTTCAATGCCCGTTTTACATGGATGGGGGATCGATCGAAGGGGTAATAAATGTGTGTATACTGTATACTATATATATATATATTTATATAATCAATGTATACTATAATGTAATTAAAATATTTCTATAGAATCATAATTAATAAGAAACGCCATCTAGTTCAATCAACAAACACTACTTATGAATGAAACTGATATTAAAATAGAATAAATTATTGACAGCGCCATCTAGTGTCGGGGAGCGATAACACTAACCAAAAATTAAATTTTAGGAAAGTACAATCAAATAGCGCCCTTATTTTCTATCACTATCAGTGAACAATAGATGACGCTACATCAAAAAAAAAATATTTTATCTATTAAAATGAAATGACGTTTGTTGCTTAATCTCGCTAAAACTCGATAACGGCTGAATGGATTTGGCTAATTTTGGTTTAAGAATATTTGTACAACTCCAAGGAAGGTTTAAGTGGTGATAAAATATGAGGACATTTAATGGAAAATAGTAAAAACAACAATTTTATTTTCGCATCCAATTCTGAGGCGGACCGCAGTTCGTCGGGTCAGCTACTATTTATATGTACATAACAAGCTGACCGTTATTTTGTCATATAATTAAAATAGGCGTTAGAGAAAAATAGAAGAGTGAAAATTTACAGATGTACCTATTATTTATAATGTCACATTATAAAAAAAATGTCCGATAAATAAAAAATAAATGTTTGAGTTGGACATCCCTTATCACTTAGACGAATAAAAAGTAGATAGCCGATTCTCAGACTGAATATGCATATAAAATTTCACAAAATCGGTCAAACCGTTTCTGAGGAGTATGGTAACTAATATTGTGACACGAGAATTTTATATATAAGATAATATTTATATGGTAAAACAGCATTTACCGGGTCAACTAGTACCTACACTCGTACTATATGTAGTTCTTCTAACTAGTAAATATTATATCGTTTTATGAAAGGTGTATAAAATTGTGACAGTTTTATTATATATATAAAGTAGGTGTAAATATTTATAGCCCGTAAAATGTTTGATTGCAAGCGAAATAGGCTTTTATTGCAGATATTATCTAAGAATTTTATCTAAAAAACATTTTTTTCCATGTCATGCTTCAAATGTTCGTTTAAAGTTTCGTACACAACAGGTAATTTATATATTATATATTAATATATAATTGGTATAGCAAATAAGTTGTTTTATGTAACTACCTCTACCCGCGACTTCGTCCGCGTGGAATTTAACTTTATTTTTCTAAAATAAAAGTAGCCTAATTTACTCCTTATTACATGAGCTACTTGCCAAAAAAAGTCCCGTTAAAATCGGTCCAGCCATTTCAGAGATTAGCCAGAACAAACAGACAGATAGACAAAAATTGTAAAAATGTTATTTTGGTGTTTGTACCGTATTTATATTCATATGCATGTAGTAAAAAACGGTTATTTCAATATTACAAACAGACACTCCAAATTGATTTATATGTATAGCTGTATATATGTCTAGATTAATATATAATTGGAACGCCAAATAAGTTTTTTATGTAATTGGGACAGCAAATAAGTAGATGCTAAGTGGCAACTAACGATCGTCATCATGTGATGACGTGATATACCTTAATATCCCACATGCGTTGTCATTCAGAAGGAGTATGATATACCTAGTACTTACACTGCCATATCTTTCAACCGAAACATTTTACAAAGAGGCCGTTCAAGTATTACGTAAGCACATTTATTACAATTATTTACCCCCCATCCCCCTTGTCAGCAAAAGGAAGCAAAGCTCTTACCCCCTCCCAGTAAGCTTACGTAAACATTTTTCAATTAATGTATTGTTATTTTAGCAAAGACAATGTGAGGGTTGCCATTCGTGTAAAAAAAAATAACTGCCGATGACGTAATCACCATCTGGACTCGCCTATCCCCCATGTCCTCCAAAATAAGCAAAGTAAACCTCCCCCCATAGTGCTTACGTAATACTTGAACGGCCCCAGAGAAAATGTTTTACGGCTGGCTAAACTGGGTGAGATAGATTTATTTATCTATTTAATTTTTTGCTAACAAAATTGTATAGATGGCGGACTTAATGCCTGATGGCACTTTCTACCAGTCAACCGTCGCGTTGATTTAAGATAATAAGGCGATGCAATATAATATGCAAATAGATACCCTCGCATATGACTTTGTAGTCTATAAAGTCTCATCATTGCCTTTATCCCATTATTTGGGGTCGGCGCAGTATGTCATTCTCTTCCACTGCTCTCTATCGGTCGTCATATCTGAACATACTCTTCTTTTATTCATATCATCTTTCACATAATCATCATCTTTTCTTAGGGCGTCCCCCCTTTACATCCATCCACATTCCTATTATACACTTTCCATAAGACATGGTCCTCGTTTCTCCGCATAATATGTCCATACCAGCTCAATTACTTAGTTACCTTGCAACTTTTCTGTAAAAAGTCTGTAAATAGTATATAGTGTACTGTTTTAAATGACGCTCATTCGAGATCATTATTTGTATGTATAATTGGTAAAAATCACGGGATCTTACGTTTTATTTTTATTGAATTCCCGATATCTCAGTGTTTCAATAGGCCTAGTTAATAGGCTAACTAATGCCTGGAATCCAGTGATTGGTTTAACTAAACGAAACAAAAAAAAACGCGATCAGAAAGTGTATTAAATATATGAAGATATTGTGAGTATAGTTTGCTGAGATGAATATCGAGCGAGTTTCTATAGTAGCAACAGACGAAGACGTGTGAAGGTAGACTCATATGTCTGCCCATAAAAGATTTATTTACCATCTACCAGCTGTTCTTCAGTTTACCCGTAATCCTGGCGGTTGAAATACTGCCGAAATATCGGGAACTCAATAAAAATAACGTGGTAAGACGTAATTTTCAATAATTATAGTAATAGCACAGATAATATAATATTACATAGTAATAGTATAAAATATTATGTTATCTGTGGTAATAGTATAACATAAAGTCGCTGTCTGTGGTCCCCATGTATGTTTAAATCTTTAAAACTACACAACGGATTTTCCTTAATAGATAGTGTGATTCAAGAGGAAGGCTTATATGTATAATATTGTACATGTACACCCGTGCGATCTGTGGCGAGTAGCTAGTTATAGTATATAGTAATATTAAAAAGGAAACAAAACACTTCATCAAGACATCATCTTGTTTGCAATTCTAGTTACATAATAAAATCTATTAATTAATTAGGGGGAGGCCTATGTCCAGCAGTGGATGTCTTCCGGGCTGCGATGATGATGATGATGATGAATTAATTTAATAATACCATATCGATATAATATTTATCATTATCATTGTGTTAATATGTTGGTATAAAAATAGTATTTTTTTATATTTGATAAAACAATTGCTTGCTAAGTCTGTCAAGTAGCGGCTGTACAGTTATTTCTGTATGTTTTATCGTCTGAGCACATTTTATATATGTATATAAATGTACTAATAAATACTAAGGCTACTCGCACACGAAGACTAATTTAATAGATAGATATTTTTTTTAGGATGTAATTGGAAAAATCTGCCAGCGCTAACGGATTATGCTGGCGGAGCACCAGTGGAGGATGATAAGATGAACATGAGGTTAGGCCAGTTAGCCCATCCTGATAAATTCACCAAGAATTTATCAGGAATGTTTCTAGGGAGAACTGGTGGAAGTCACCTGACAGGATACATTGCTAGCTATAGGCTAGCACACGGCTTTACGGCCGATGGTCGCGGGTTCGATTTCTCGCACGGTACGGTGTTTGCATCGATCTGGGTGTTTCTATTTATTTACAACTAAATGTTCACGCGACTTCGTCCGCGTGGAATTTAACTTTATTTTTCTAAATAAAAGTAGCCTAAGTTACTCCTTATTACATCAGTTACCTACAAAAAAAGTCTCGTTAAAATGGGTCCAGCCATTTCAAAGATTAGCCGGAACAAACAGACAGACAGACAGACAGACAAAAATTGTAAAAAGTGGTTTTTTTTATGTACCGTATTTATATTCATATGTATGTAGTAAAAAACGGTTATTTCAATATTACAAACAGACACTCCAATTTTATTTATATGTATAGATAAAAAAAAGTATCTATGTATTTATATCACTAGTCCAATGCCCATAATATAAGCTCAGCTTATCTTGGGACTAGATGGCGCTGTGTGAATTGTCCGCAGTTATTATTATTATTGTATTTTATGGAAAACAGATTTAACCAAGCAGTTGACTTTGTATAAAGTGTACGTAGGTTGTGTGTGTCGGATGCACGTGTAGCCTTACAGTCTGTAAATCATCTGGGTATATGATAAACACTTCAAGATAAGATGTTATCGTTCGACGTTTGTTAACATAATATTAGTCAGATAAAGTACAACTATTTAGTAAAACTACTATGTAAATATATAGGTATATTGTTTTTGGTCAATCTATACAAATAAATAGATTTAAGTGTCTGTTTGTAATTTCAAATTAACAGCTTTTCTTTAAATGCATATGTATATATAAAATCACAAAAAATATTTCAAAAAATTTTGTTTGTCTGTCTGTTTGTTTGTTCTCGCTAATCTCTGCAACGGCTCCGATTATGACAAAATAACTTATAGAAATAGATATAGAAATAATCTTTATTTAAATAAACTTAATATAAGCACTTTTGAACAGTCAATTTTTTTTATTCTACCGCTCATTCGGAATGCTATAAGATAACTTGTCACTATTGTGGTATAAAAAATGAGTGTCAATTTGTATTCTGACTGACAAAATGGTGATGGAAACACCTATAACAAACAAAATTATTCCGATGGACTGTTCATTGACTCTTCAATTATATTCAGCGAAATGTAGCACATATTCACCACAATATCGACAGTCAGTAACGCCTCTGACTATCCCATATGGAATGACAGTCGTGAAGTTATATTTAGATTGTTCCCTATCACGGATTAATTTTAGTTTATTGCCAATGTTAGTATATCAATGTAGTTATTAACATAGTTTTATAATTTGTTTAACACAATATGAATGTAATCCAAAATAAATAAAATAAATAAATGTTACTTAACCGGTTAAGTAATATTTATTTATTTTATTTAGTATTATTTTAGTTTATTTTATTTAGTAGTGCTAGTTAGAAACAGAAATTTTTGGTACCAGGCAAGATTTGAACTCGCTACCTTCAGGACAGTTAACTACTCGACTATGACGCGTTCACTACAGTACATACGGAGTTATAAATACTTAGATTAAAAGAAAAGTAATGCAGTGTACATAGCAATAAAGATATCATACGTTCCTAAAAGATAAAGTTATTTCCTGCCGGCAATACCTACTTATCTTAGTTTGCAGATGTTACCATTGGAAGCACTGTAATATTTATTGTTTTTAACATACTAGTGACTATCCTAGACGGCCTTGGTGGTCTAGCGGTTTAGCACACTGCTTTACTACCGACAGTCGTGGGTTTGTATTCAAACATTTGTATTATTGAATATGATTGTTTGTATTAGTCTCGACCAGTGATACCAAAGTGGTCTATATCGACCCCCAGGGCTCTACGACAGCGGTCATCTTGTTGTTTTCACTTTATGTTTTTAACACTAAACTTTACTACAGTTAGAAATTTACAAAAAATCCAGGTAAGAATGGGGGGGTCTACCCGAAACCGAAAAATATGGTTAAAAGTTTGGAAACCTCTGGTTTAGATACTGATAGAGATATTGAGTGGATTACATATATAGTAGTAAATATAATTTACTTCGTTCCGATCGCAGTTGCACGTTACATACAAACTGTTACTTAGCAACAATACTTATTTTAAATGTGATGGATTATACTTTTTCTACTTCAATCAATGTGCCTAATACGGTCCCTTAATCCATTACATTTAAAACATTCTACATCTCTACATTTAAATAACATACATAATATAAAACAATATACAGAAGAGTAAACAATAGAACTACTAGCAAAAAACATATCCAAAATTAAATCTGTTAAAATACTAATAATTTCTGTTGGACCTATACCGCCCCTGATAGAGATATTGAGTGGATTACATATATAGCAATAAATATAATTTACTTCGTTCCGATTGCAGTTGCACGTTACATACAAACTGTTACTTAGCAACAATACTTATTTTAAATGTGATGGATTATACTTTTTCAACTTCAATCAATGTGCCTAATAGATACTTATATCAAGTTTGATATCTGAATTTTAGTTATGAAGGTATAAAATGATAGACTTACCTGACACCAAGTCGTCGAGATCTTGCTGTCTATCAGTCTCATGTCAGTCATACTCATTGGATACATTTGTCCAGAGAATACTCGATACCTAGAAAATAAAATATAACGTAAATCTGTTTGTTTGTATATTTGTAATGAAACTATTAAATTTAGACATCTTTAAGTCGGGAAATAATTTATAAGATTTTTTTAATACAATATCCGTATTGCTATACATATATATATAAACAATGGTTATTACGTATCATAGGCCTTCCTAAAATATGGTCAAGCGCAGTGATAGCTGGCTCATCCGTCATACTCGTGAACGAGTGCTGCTTGAAGGGACTGGTTTGCTCTAAACACTACGACTGATTTACTATTATTTAGTTACTCAACCAGTTGGTTGTTTATTTATTATTTTAACTCTAATGAATTAGTGCTTGTTGGTAGTTTTTATTCATACATTTCAACTTTAAAAATGTAAGGTTACAATAATTATTTAAAAGAGCAACACGCAAGTTTCTTGCTCGTTCTTCTTGTGATGAGACTTGTGTTTTCCCAATGAGTGGTAGAATAAACAAATGACTATTCAAAAATAATTAAATATTAGTTTATTTGAATAAAGAATTTCTATTCTATTCTATCATCAGTTGGGCTATAGACTTGCATTTAATTTGCAATTGTTTGCGTTTGTATTTCAATAAAAAAAAAACTAAGTCTATGGAAAAAAACAGGTATAGATTTTGAGGAACGCGTATTTCTGTTATCTTGTTAATTGTTTTTTCTATTAATTACACAACATACATGTCTTTAATACCTCTTGACATTTACTATTGATATAATAATTATATTTAAACCGTATAAAGATAACAGAACAGAAGCGTGGAAGGCACAATGTTGCTGAGTTTATTTAATTTATTGTATGTCACGAGGATTTAATAGACAAATATATATTTAGATTTATTTTTTTTAGACTTTATGTTGTGTTGGTTGCCGCTTCACCTTAGCGGCACTTTTTTATATATTTATGTAGTATATTATTGTATGTCTCAGGTATATATTGTATTTTTCGTTCTCTGTACATTTTGTATTTGCACTGCCAACAATTATTCTCTACCCTACCTATGGTTGCCTGGTAGAAAATGCCGCATGGTGTTAAGTCCGCCAAATGTACTATACTTTGTATTGTGTGCATTGAAGTTAAATAGAAATAGATATAATCTTTATTCAAATAAACTCATTACAAGCACTTTTGAATAGTCATATTTTGATTCTACCACTCATTCGGAACGCAGATTCATCACAAGAAGAATGAGCAAGGAACTTGTGTGTTGTTCTTTTGAATATATGTTTTTTTTATTATAAAATGATTACAGCATAACAAGTAAGAGGCATGCGATTATCAACATAGAAACCGCTACGCACTCATTCTTAGCGCAATCAGATAATATTGTCAGCGCTATGGATTTTAAGTTTTTCTATAAAAACATTATTATCATTAACGAACTCTTTAATTTTATAGTAAGCTTTTTTACAATGGAAGTGTATGACATGTAAATCTTTTTTTCAGGCAGATTTATAAATAAATAATTAAAATAAAGCCACCTGTATTTTTTTATTTGTATAACTTATTTTTTTCCAATGTGATTATATTTTTGCAACACATAATAAATAATACATGTTACTGGAGCGGGAAGTACTATTTTAATAAAAACTAAACACTAGTAAAAAATGTGTATTCTTCCCAAAAGGGCTCATAGCGAGAGGGTAACAAAACAAATAGTTAGTTAGTCAAAAGTGACATATAAAAAATAGATATCAAAAATATAAAGTTTTAAAAAGAATGGTAGACAAACTGCCAGTAACACAAAACCATCTCTATATTTGTACTATTTTCTTTATACCTCATTGAAGCTATGTGTTTGTAATTTATGAATAAAAAAATATCTATCTAGATACAGTTCATAAATTGTAATAAACTTTAATATTATTATTTACACTAACATTATAAAGAGGTTAGTTATATTTATTGTTTGTAATGACTAAACACTAAATATATTTAACTAATATTAAAAATTCTTTTATCTATGGAAAGTTTCATTATCAAACATATTCATGGGATGCATTAAAAATGTTATGCCTGTAAGAGCACTCATGCCTCTCCTATCCGAGTCACCTTTATTATCAAAACAAAGTCTCTGTCGGTGTCTTTCCACCCCTATCCGAAAGTCGAAATCGTATACCACCTAAACTCTCTAGACCTGGTAAATATAATATATTTATAGAAAATCTCGCACGAAGTAATTTGGGCTTCTACTCACCTTTAAACAGGCTAATGAGAACTTATAACACTTATTCAAAGAAACATTTATCAGTTAACATATTTAGTAATAGTTATTGCAAATTTCGCAGATGTCTCAATAGTATTGTAAGTTCTAGTTGAATCAGTACAGGTTTTTTATAGGTAGAATTTTAAGTTGTTTTTTATGTTTTGTTAATTGTTAATTGTAAGCACAAATTTGTCATATAAATGTCGTAGTTGCAGTTGTATAATTAAGGTTGCGCTTAGTATAAATAGATTGTAATGTAATATATATAATGTAACTGTGTTGGTGTAAACTTTGTTGGTGACCTAATAAAAATAATAAAAAAATAAAAAATATAAGTTTACTAGCTACTCGCCCTGGCTTCGAACGGGTGTACATGTATTATATATATAAACCTTCCTCTTGAATCACTCTATCTATTTAAAAACAGCTTTAAAATCGGTGCCGTAGTTTTAAAGATTTAAGCATACATAGGGACGGACAGACAGCGACAGCGACTTTGTTTTATACTATGTAATAATAATAATAATTTAATTATTAGGATAACTTACCGTAAATATAGTGGTACGAATATAAATGCACTTGGTACTGCAATGAGTAGTACCATCAACTTGCAAAGTCTGATTGGTCCTTTATAGCAGGATCGCGAGGCGATTCGACTGCAGTGTCTGCTGATTGGGGGTTTTCCAGGACTTGGTGGGACCCCAGCTGGAAACAGAACCATAAATTAGGGTAAGTGTCCAACTGACGGTAAGTGGTAACTGTCGTCTACACATGACCAGCACCACAGACGTAATAGAATTCACTAATAGGCATATATGTCTGTTATTAGATGACCTCGGTGGTCTAGCGGTTTAGCACGCTGCCTTACTTACGATGGTCGCGGATTCGATCCTCGCACGGTACAAACATTTGAATTCATGAGTATGATTGTTTGTTTCGGTCTGAGTGTTTTCTATGTACATATAAAAAGTATATTATTAAAAAAAATGAATGGAAGTATTTGCATCAGTTGTCTAGTACTCATAACACAAGCTCTACTTAGCTTGGGACTAGATGACTCTGTGTGAATTGTCCCGGGAAACTATTATTATGCGTGTGTGTCAAATACACTATAGTACATGTAATAGTAATCTAAGTAATCTCGCAGGACGATTCACACAGCGCCATCTAGGCCCAAGTTAAGCTACCTAAAGCCTGTGTTATGGGTACTAGATAACTGATACAAATACATAGATATTTTTTTCGTAAATACATACATACTATACATAGAAAACACCCAGACCGATACAAACAGTCATACTCATGAATACAAATGTTTGTGCCGTGCGAGAAATCGAACCCGCGACCATCGGACTTAAAGCGGTGTGCTAGACCACCGAGGTCGTAATGTTTTTATACATTTAATGTATTTTCTACGTATAACTTTTTAAACATTTTGACATTCAGCTCTTCTTCTCTTCTCTTCTATATAAACTACAAGTATGTCAGACTATTCCGTCTGCGCAGTTTCCGTAAAAAGGGTACAAGGTTTTATTCCTGTATTAATATAATGGTAAATCTTTTCTGTGAATTTTTTACCTTAATACGTGGCAAAAGATTAGAGTGCATACGGGTAAAATGTTATGGGAGCCCTGGTTTGTGATGCTAATTAACTACCCCTCCCATTGAATCCCAGTCCAATTCAAACGGGGATCGCAATTATAACTGCCTGTGCCGAGGTTCGAACTAGTGCCCTCAGACTAATATCGTATCCGTCCGACGGGAGTTGACCATCTGCACTCGCTCTCTTTCGTCCACGCGGGAGTTGGCCATCTGCACTCTCTCTCTATCGTCCAGTGAAGCTGTAAAAGCCAGCCATAATTTCGGCCTACTCTAAGGCCAACAGCATTACAGTAGTCCGAAAATTACAGCTTATGTGCTATTGGAATTCCATAAAAAAACACTTACATTCTAACGGTTCCAATTCCGGTGTATCCATAATTGACTTCTACATTACATATTAGTATCTTAACCAGCTGCCACTGCAAGTGCGGTTAGTGGTTACTCTGTGTACAAACATATTAATTTAAATTCAAATTCAAAATATCTTTATTCATGTAGGTCTATTACAGACTCTTATGATATGTCACATCTACCGTCAGTCCGGAATGACTTCGAGATGAGAAGAACTGACAAGAACTCATAAGTAGAAAAAATATATGTTAATTAGACAGCCTCGGTGGTCTAGTGGTTTAGCATACCGTTTTACTATCCGATGGTCGTGGGTTCGATTCTTCGCACGGTCTAAACATTTGTATATATGAGTATGATTGTTTGTATAGGTCTGGGTGTTTTCTATGTATAATATGTGTATTTATTTACAAAAAAAAATGCATCCATGTATTTTTATCAGTTGTCTAGTACGCATAACATAAGCTATAGCTTAACTTGGGTCTAGATGGCGTTGTGTGAATTGTCCTGACATTATTATTATTATAGTTGTCAGAGCAGATCAGTCTCTACCAAAAGACCTTAAAACCCTTCTTAAAACCCCATGCTGTAATATCTAAAAGAAACTACAGACTGGAACCTAAGTGGTCTCGGACAGTGTGGTTTCAAAGGAGCCTCTTCCTGCGTACACTTAGATTGTGGAATGAACTCCCTGTCGAAATTTTCTCGAGAGACTAAAACATGGGGTTTTCCAAGAATACCTATACATATGAACGTTTCTTAAGGATCATAGCGCATCCGTGCTCACTGCTGCTATTCCCCGCCCACTCGGGCTGAGTGTAAATTGGGCATTAGACTTTAATAGTCGATGGTTACTGTTTACCATCAGGTGAGCCGCTTGGACACCCCTGGACAGGCTTAATTGTTATAACAGTTATACATAAATTACATAGGTCATTAAAATCTAACTACAGACAGTCGTATCTATTGACATGTGTTATCTATATTTATCTATTATTGAATGAGGTCATTTTATTATTACATTGTGTGTCTGTCTGTCCTCTGTTCGCATATAATTGCTATTATCTTAATAATAATAATAATGTTTAAAGTTCTCACCTTTTACCCCAGAATATAGTATAAAAATCAATCATCATATGTATGTGATTATATGTATGTGATAATTACGCAATTATTTTTTCAAATTAATCCTGTAGATACATATATATATATATATATATATATATATATATATATATATATATATATATAAACATAAGATACAAAACTTAATACTATTTACTAGCTGTAACCACCGACTTTGCCCGTGTTTAATTAAACTTTATGTTTTATTAAAATAAATAAATTTTCTAAAATAAAAGTAGTTTAAGTTACCTGCTCCTCATAACACTTGCTATCTGGGGGGAAAGGGGATTGTTAGTAATATGGATTGATAACCCCATTGCTAGCAATGTACAATGTCAGGTTGACCTCCACGCGGTTCCCCCTGGAAACCATCGTGACAATTTCCTGGTGAGCTTGTGACGATGGGCTAACTGACCTGACCTCATGCTCATCTTATCATTTTCCACTGGTGCCCTGCCAGCGTAAACCGTTAGCGCAGGCGGGTGCACCATTCCATTATCATCCAAAAAAAAAAAACACTTGCTATTTATTTACTCACAGTGTAAGTTCAGTGAGAACAAATAGACGTACAGACACACAGACAAACATTTTTTGAAATAATTTTTATTGTAAGTACAGTATATACTTTCATATGCATTTATTGAAAGTCTGTTAATTTGAAATTACAAACAGACACAACTATTTCTATTATTTCTATAGAATATCTTAATATTAATAATATTATGAACGCGAAAGTTTGTAAGTATGGATGTTTGTTACTCTTTTACGCAACTACTGAACGGATTTTGATGTAACTTTACAGTAATATAGCTTATGTAATAACTCATGGGCTGTAATTTATACTGAAATTTAACACGGTTGAAACCGCGGGCATTGCTAGTTATATATCTTTGTATGGATTATTATCTATACAAGTAATAGAAATAGTAATAACATCTTTAATGTTAAAAAAATGAAAAACAGACTTTAACACTTTGAGTTTAAGGATCTTTTTTTAATGAATGCAGTTTATTATTAAGTTGTAAATAACAAAGAGGTCAATGACCTTTAATCAAAGCCACGTGGACAATGCATGTATATTGGCATACAAAAAAATGTATACAAGTATTTATATCAGTTGTCTAAATTTAAAAAAAATATTGTCCATAATTAAAAAAATGGTAGGGGTGGATAACCCTTATCACTTAGGGGTATGAAAAAGAAGATAGTAGCCGATTCTCAGATTGACTGAATATTCCTATAAAATTTCATAAAAGTCGGTAAAGCCGTTTCGAAGGAGTATGGTAAGTGGTAACTAACATTGTGACACGAGAATTGTATATACTACTAGCTGTAATCGCGACTTTGTCCGCGTGGAATTTAACAAAAAAGTTAATTAGAGAATTTTTCTAAAATATAAGTAGCCTAAGTTACTCCTTACTATATCAGCTATTTGCTAATAAAAGTGCCTTCAAAATCGGTTCAGCCATTTCAGAGATTACCCGGAACAAACAGTCAGACAGACAAAAATTTTAAAAATATTATTTTGGTGTATGTACCGTATTTATATTCATATGCCTGTAGTCAAAACGGTTATTTCAATATTACAAACCGACACTCCAATTTTATTTATATGTATAGATAGAAGAACCCGAAAAAATTTTACACAGTTTCCTCGCAAATTGCTTTTTTTTATATGACGCACAGTTGCAAATAAAACCTTCAAAGTGAATGGACACAAACAAAAGTTTTTTACTGGCTCGGTACGTTGGTTTACCAAAGACAAAATTAAGGAAATCTGTTTAGATGCAAAAGTTCTTTTGTTCGTACGTGGAGGAAACCTAAGCCGCATCTAAAAGTGAAATTTTTCGCGCGTTTTTACCCCAACTAAGGAAGTGTATATAGTATATACAGCTATAACGTACACTAATAATAATATTTATTCTTGATACACATTTACATTTTTAATTTACTGTAGTTCTACACTAAGCTCGCAGGCTTGTATTGTAGAAACTTAAATACTAGCTGTTCCCGCAATTTTGTCCGCGTATTTAACGGAATTTAACTTTAATTTTCTAAAATAAAAGTAGCCTAAGTTACTCCTTATTACGTTAGCTACCTGCCAAAAAAAGTCCAGTCCAACCATTTCAGAGTTTAGCCGGATCAAACAGACCCACAGACAGACAAACGAAAATTGTAAAAAAATGTTATTTTGGTTTATGTAATACTAAAATAACATTTATTACAATTTTTGTATACGTATATATACGTATTTATATTCATGCATGTAGTAAAAGACGGTTATTTCAATATTACAAACAGACACTCTAATTTTATTTATATGTATATATTATTATGTCCACTAGAAGATACAATAGACGCGGGAAAATAAATACTTTTTTTATTAACCTTTTTTCAATACAGATATAATCTATATACAGTACAGGTATTATATATAGATAAAATTTAGTTTATGTTCTTATGAAAACAAAGCTAACTTTTGAAACGCATTATTAATAGTTATAATATAGGTACTTTCCTTTTGTTTAAAGACAGATTTAAAATAATACGCACCAAAAAGTTTTTTTTTTATTTATTTTGCGAAGAGCATAGACAATTTTAAGTGATTACAATACATTACTATTGTTTTATAGCATTCAGAAGAAGTTACGAATCGTAATATTTTAATAAATAAATAAATAACCCTGGACAATTAAAACAGCGTCATCTATTCATCTAGTCCCACGGTAAGCAGAGCTTATGTTCTGGGTACTAGGCAACTGATATAAATACATAGATATATATTTTTCTGTAAATACATAGATTTACAAAATATAAAAATATGCACAGAAAACACCCATACCGACAGTTATATTTATGAATATAAATGTTTGTTCCGTGTGAAGAATCGAACCCGCGACCATCGGAATTAAAGCGGTGTTCTAAACTACTAGACCACCGAGGCCGTCGAGAATCTTTGGGAGCGTTCTTAAGAACTAGTTCGTTCTGGAATTATAGATTAAAATTGCTCTGTGGCTGAGAACAGAATACGCATAATAGTTATGAACTTTATCATAATGCAACAGAGTTATCTTTGCTAAATATCAATTAACTAATCTCCATTATTAGTAAATACAGACAGATAATAAATATTTTATCTGTCCCTACGTTACTAAGTCTAATTTAGTATTTACATATCACACGCTTAATAATAAAATACATTAACTCATTAATTAGTAATTTAGAAATCTGGACTCTAAGAAATAAACAGTAAAGTAGATTTCTCAACGTATATAATCTTTGAGATATTACGTTTTATTATTAATCACGATAATATCAAGTGATAAATCGACACTTATATAATTTAGGCTAATACCTAACTATTAGACTTTCTAATAGACTATTGTAAACCCAACGATGACGTTATCCGTCATACTCGTGATCGAGTGCTACTTATAGGTATTGATCTATTTTAATCACTACGATTATATTATGTTGTAGCGTAAATGATTTCTAATTTTCTACTTTATTTCTTAATGAAAAGTGTTTAATTTTGTTTAGTAGTGTTCTATCATTGAATTTCGGATTATATCCCTTACGAAAAACATTGTACTAAGAACAATAACTATAATAGACGACAATAGTAAGAAAATCTAAAAATACCTTTGTCCCTTTTTGTCTTATGCAATTACCAATAAGTTAGAAAAGATAGCATACATACATGATAGTTCGAAATTTCGAACACTGTCATCTCGTTTGTTATTGTTCTGAGGAATTATTTCTGAACGACAAAAGGTTGATGCACTACACATTAGCTATTAAAAGGTTTTGTCCTAAATTCCGCACATAACGAGTGATCCTAGTAAAATTTCCTAAAGATCAAGATCAATAAATAAAAGATCATTAAAAATTACATAGAGATCTCAAGACGTCAAAAAGTTTTACCGCCAAAACTGATAGACAACTTTAATTGTATAAAATCACTTTGTATTGGTTAAAATTAAAAAATATATACGCCTAAAAAAATCATTCGAACTTTGAAAATCGAATATTATTATAAACAATATTTAAATATCACAAAGACATAATTCTATTTTTGAATTTGATAACTAGGTACATTGATAACAATTTGAAATAAAACACCTAAACAAATATAATAAGTTACTATTGAATACAAAATTATAAGAATTAACAGAAACTTACATTAAAACGCGCTATTTATAAATTACAATCTTGTCTTGATACAACTAAATTATAAAATCACTCTGGCAAATTGTCAGCATTTAACACAATTAAATGTTTTTAATTTTATCACATTCTACAACATTCAGGCCCCAAATTGTACGTATATACACTTTAAGAATCGAATTTAAAAATAAAGAGTTCTTAATTTAAATTTGAATAGCATTTCGAATGCCGAATAGAGATGTACGTATTTGATTTATAAACAAATATCGATGAGGAAAAGCGCGCGCTCCACTCGAATGCTATATCGATACTGCTTATCATTTCCATCGGTCTCATTATAATAATTATCTGTACTATTAATAAAACTACGAGTATGAGAGAATTTTGTCTCACTGTTTGCGGAATTTATTAGATTAAATGTTATGTTATTCGTTTGTTGATATGACTTGTTGATTAAAATGTCGATTGCAGAATTGATATCGATAAGTTTTTTTAATGGATAATAATGGATTGTTGCACGTGTCTACGCTAACGGTTTACGCTGGCGGGGCACCAGTGGAGGATGATAAGATGAGCAAGTGGTCAGGTCAGTTTACCCATCGTGGCAAATTCACCAGGAAGATATGTAATGCTAAATAAATGTCCTCATTAAAATTTTCAAATTCAAAAATCATTTATTCATGTAGGACATTTTAGCAGCTTATGAACGTCAAGTTTTTACATTATAATATTTTTTCCCTACCGTCCAATTCGGTATATAGATCCAATTCAGAAGAACTGGCAAGAAACTCAATTGAATTACTTTTCTTTTAAAAGCCAGTTTATTTACAATGCATAGGTATTTATATAGGTGTCTATGTCTAACATTATATGAAAATCCCGAACATGAAAATTATTGCCATGCACGCTCGTATTAATGTCAGTAGTGCTGTCCATGCTTTATACATGGATGACGATCTCTGTGGTCGCGGGTTTGATTCGTCGCACGGTGCAAACATTTGTATGCATAAGTATGATTGTTTGTATTTGTCTGGGTGTGTTCTATATATATCATGTATGTATTTACAAAAAAAAATATCTTAGTATTTGTATCAGTTATCTAGTACTCATAACACAAGCTTTAGCTAGCTTAACTTGGGTCTAGATGGCGCTGTGTGGATAGTCCTGAGATTATTATTATTATTATTATACATAGAAAACACGCAGACCGATACAAACCATCATACATGAATACAAATGTTTGTGCCGTGCGAGGAATCGAACCCGCGACCTAAAGTAAAGCGGTGTACTAAACCGCTAGACGACCGTAAATAAAGTGTTAAGTAATAGTATGTAATATTATATTATCTGTGGTAAAAAAACGATCTCTATCTAAACTTTTATCTGTCTTTTGTGCAATGTACAATGTCTTCTATTATCTTATAAACGCCATCAATATAAACATAGACATACGACGATACAGATAATGTGATAATTGTTCAGTAATATTGTTTATTAACATCAAAAATTTAATTTGCACATTATTTTTTTTTTATTACAAAAGATACGAACTCTACCTAGAGATTGTTTAGGTCTGATTGTTAAATACCACGATTCTTGCTTCTATTATTTCTCATAATAACATTAAACTTTAAAACCCATGATCACTAATTCCGAATATATTAAAAATATAACCCGTTCCTTTCCATTACCCCGTCTCGTTTCCTGTTTTTAGTGCCATAATAGGCAATGCTAACCTCTTGTCAAAGAAAACAAAATACCACGATTAATTTTATTTATTTACTTATATATTTAATACAGGTTATTAATGACCCATATTATAACAGACAAATTACAGACTAACAAATTCAAATTCAAAATATCTTTATTCATGTAAGTCTATTACAGACTCTTATGATACGTCAAATCTACAGTCATTTCGGAATGATATCGAGATGAGAACTGACAAGAAACTCAGCTCGTATTTTTTTCAAATAATAGTGGAACATGTTTATAATAATACATAGTCATTAAAATTCAAATTTGGGAGAATAGAGTGACCAACCAGCATATGCTATCGCAAAGAACAAAAAATTTAATCAGTGTTCACAACCTGTACAGACCAGTCCCCACAAGTAGTACCCGTTCACGAGTATGACGGATGAGCCAGCCATCATTGTACTCAACCATATTTGAGCACATCGACCCGGCCCACCACGCCGCCACAAGTTTGAACTTTATAGCGAGCATGACTGTTTCAGGTTACTCCACTACGTCAATTATATTATTTACAGCATAGGCTGTACCGATCACAGTTTTCACCCATTACAATATTAAAATTACATTATTTAATTTACAATATGTCATTGTAAATTAAATAATGTAACATACATATGAATAATATAATTAAAACAAAATGAAATATCAATTGTCTGTGTGATCACGGCACTGATGATGGTAATCTGCCAATGTAGCGCCGATAGACCACACCCTTCGGCCAGTAGTCCTCCTTCATGAAGGTGGGCAGCATGTTGGTGGGAACTCGGGCCACAAACGCCTTGTAACTAGCTTTATGTCTAGATTCCAGCTGCGTCACCCTCAGAGTTAGGTTACTCCTGGTATGTAGTCGACAATGTCCTGCTCCGTGATTAATGCCCAAAAGGATATAAGTTCATATTAGGACTCTCAAAAAAAAAATACAGTTAAGATTAAGTTAGGGCTATAATAATTTGTATATAGAACAAAAGAGGGTTCTCACTCCGCCCTCCGACATGATTGGCCGTTATAATTCTCCCGCCACCCAATCACACGTCGAGGTCCACACCCTTCGAAATTTAAATAAAAAATGCAATTTCTCTCAGTCGACTCGTCGATTTTCAGTGTTGAATACGTGTTAATTGCAGTGTTATATAGATCCGAAATTGAATTTGTTAAAGTGCAGTGGAATATTGTGATTGTGTTTTTATGCCAACCATTACGGATATACCTGGGGGTACCGGTTAGTATATATAAATCTTACTTATATATTTTTTTCTTATAAATGACAATGGAATGGTACACCCGCCTGCGCTGACGGTATACGCTGGCGGTGCACCAGTGGAATATGATATGATGAGTACGAGCTCAGGTCAATTAATCCACAAAATTAAAATTAAATTACGTAACCTAATTAAAAATAAATATACGGGTTCATCATTGCCTTGCCTTTATCCCATTATTTGGGGTCGGCGCAGTATGTCATTCTCTTCCACTGCTCTCTATCAGTCGTCATATCTAAACATACTCTTCTTTTATTTATATCATCTTTCACACAATCCATCCATCTTTTCTTAGGGCGTCCCCTCCCTTTAAATATACAGGTTAATAAACATAAATAAATAAAAGGTAAATTCATAATGGTTTTAATATTACGGGTATTACGACGGTTTCCAAGGGAGACCGCGTGGAGGTCAGACATTGTACATTGCTAAAAATGAGGTTATTAGTCTACATTACCAACAATCCGCTTCCCCCTAATCTTATATAATAAACGCGAAATATTGTGAGTATGGATGGATGGATGTTCTTGACCCTTTCAACCAAAAATTATTGAACGTTTTTTGATGAAACTCTACAGAAATACAGATTATATATCAGAATAACACATAGGCTAAGTTGAAACTTCCAGAAATTTAAATCTCCCTTAGTATGATGTAAATAAAAACATGTAATTAGTTATTAATAAAATAAACTAAAAATGACTCAAATACAAAGCAACTAATGAGTGGATGTTAAATATAGCTACATCCGTTGATAAAGATATCCTGTCGACCAACTATGGTATATATTATTTCAGTACATAATTTTTATATATATTGTAAATATGTACAATTATATTTGAAAAGAATGCGAGATGAGTTTCTTGTCAGTTGTTCTCATCTCGAAATCATTCCAAACCGACGGTAGATTTGACATACCATAAGAGTCTGTAATAGACCTACATGAATAAAGATGTTTTGATTTGATTTGTGATTTGATATATCAAATTCAGTATATAATACAACTTGTTTACCGCGGCTTCGTTTTAATATTCAGCCTCGATGGTCTAGCGGTTTAGCACACCGCTTTACTGCAAGTTCGATGCTTCGCATGGCATAAACATTTGTATTCATGAGTATGATTGTTTGTATCGATCTGGGTGTGCGTTCCACGCGGACGAAGTCGCGAGAACATATTTTACTAAAATAAAAGTAGCCTAAGTTACTCCTTATTACGTTAGCTACCTGCCAAAAAAGTCCAGTCAAAATCGGTCCAGCCTCGACTTGCCAAAAAATATCCCGTTTATTTTTAGGTATAGTTTTTGCGGCTTTATAGTACTTTCATACAAACTTACATCACCTATTTTATCCCCTTAGGGGTGGAATTTATCAAAATCATTCTTAGGAGATGCCTACGTCATAGTAGCTTTATGTATGCAAAGTCTCAGCCCGATCGGTTTAAAATTGACAAAGTTTCATCCCTTATTTTATCCCCTTGGGTGTAGAATTAATCAAAATCCTTTCTTAGCGTCATAACATCTACCTGCATGCCAATTTTCAGCCCGATCCGTCCAGTGGTTTGGGCTGTGCGTTGATAGATCACTATGTCAGTCACCTTTGAGTTATATATATAGATCGTACAGTTAGTTGTAAAGTATAGAGCCACCAGCCCATTAGTGTAGTGAAATTAACCCTACATCACTTGGAAGGTTGAAGAGCTTGTCAGTAATAAGGGCTAGTGATTCAATGGGTAGTAATGTGTACCCAAGTCCTGTAAGGCCGAGGTTCACATATTTTCCCCTGGAAAACATAATAATAATAATAATAATAATTCAGGACAATTCACACAGCGCCATCTAGTCCCAAGTTAAGCTAGCTAAAGCTTGTGTAAACATTACTGATACAATACATATATTTTTTTTTCGTAAATACATATATATTCTATATATAGTATACAAACGTGTCGAACCCGCGTGTATAGCGGTGTGCTAGACCGCTAGACCACCGAGGTCGTCATATATTCATTCGTAATATGTATATATATTTTACATATAGTATACTGTGTGTTATTCTCTATTAAACATTTGTAATATTTTTATGTAATATGACAATATATTAAATATGTATTTTTATTCTCTTAAATCTTTTTAAATCTCTATACAATATTATATTTTTAAAACTTAGTTTTCATTTTTAGGCGCCAAAATATTTTTTCTTTTAAATATGAACTTATAGCATACCTACGAAGGAACATCCTATAGAGCTATATTGGTATTATAAAATGTTAATACAGTGTTACTGATGATAGTATATATTTATTACATAGTATAAAATAAATTCGCTGTCGCTGTCTGTACCTGTTAAGACTTTTTAAACGGAAAATTATTTTTATTTATTACCAGATGTTTCTTGCGACGTCCACGTGTAATATAACTTTATTATTCTAAAATAAAAGTAGCCTAAGTTACTCCCTATTATATCAGCTACCTGCCAAAAAAAGTCCCGTTAAAATCGGTCCAGCCATTTCAGAGATTAGCCGGAACAAACAGACAGACAGATAGAAAATGATAAAAAATGTTATTTTGATGTATGTACCGTATTTATATTCATATTCATGTAGTACGGTCAAACGGTTATTTCAATATTACATACAGACACTCCAATTTTATTTATATGTACAGATAATATATATTTATTACATAGTATAAAATAAAGTCGCTGTCGCTGTCTGTCCCTGTGTATGCTTAAATCTTTAAAAGTAAACAACGGATTTTGAATCGTTTTTTTTTAAATGGATATACACTATATCTATTTAAAAAAAACGATTCAAATGTAGATGTAGAATTACTTAATACACTATTCTACACACTTGAGGAAGGTTGTTATATATTACACATGTACACCCGTGCGAAGCCGGGACGTGTAGCTAGTGTAATATATAAAATTCTGGTGTCGCAGTTTTCGTGTTTATACTCCTCCGAAACGGCTTGACCGATTTTAATGAAGTTTTATATGTATATTCAGTCTGCGAATAGGTTTATAACTAATTTTTATGTCCTAAGAGTTAAGGGTGGCTCACCAGAAGTTTTTTTTTAAATATATATGGCAAAACAACGTTTTCCGGGTCAGCTAGTCAATATATAAATCGAGGGATATGTAACACAACTATAACAGAAATTATGATGCTAAAAAATCTTCAGATTTTTTAAGCGGATAATTATTTTTATTTATTACTGTCCGCGTGTAATATAACTTTAATTTTCTAAAATAAAAGTAGCCTAAGTGACTCCTTATTACATCAGCTACCTGCCAAAAAAGTCCAGTCAAAATCGATCTAGTCATTTCACAGATTAGCCGGAACAAACAGACAGACAGACAAAAATGATAAAAATGTTATTTTGGTGTATGTACCGTATTTATATTCATATGCATGTAGTAAATAACATTTATTTCAATATTACAAACAGACACTCTAATTTTAGGTATAGACTAGCTGTTCCCGCGACTTCGTCCACTAGGAATTTAACTCTATTTTTCTAAAATCTTTTTTTTTCAAGACAGACTGACAAAAATTGTAAAAAAAATTATTTTGGTGTATGCACCGTATTTATATTCATATGTATTTAGTGAAAAACGATTGTTTCAATATTACAAACAGACACTCCAATTTTATTTATATGTATAGATTAATATGGAAATGAGATAAATGTATACATTCAGCGTTCTCCTTTCAGTGTATCTGACATCGATGGCGTCAGACCAGGACTCCTGTTCTGATGAGGAGCCTGACAGTGAGATGCTGAGCGACGACCTCTGTCTACCTGACAGTGATGATGACAGGCAACCGACCAGAAGTGTACAGGTTCAATCTTGTTTTATAAAATTAGTTTAACATAAACAATAATAATTAGTGCTCAACCATAATTAATTTCATCACTACATAGTATAAAACAAGGTCGCTGTCGCTGTCTGTCCGTCCCTATGTATGCTTAAATCTTTAAAACTACGCAACGGATTTTGAAGCGGTTTTATTTAACAGATAGAGTGATTCACGAAGTTCATATGTATAACTAGCTTTTACCCGCGGCTTCGCTCGCGTAGTAGTAAGTATTATTATTAATTAGGTGTAGTTTTTGCGGCTTTGCTTTTGTTTAGCTTGCGTATAAAAATTAGGGCCTACAAAGTCTAAGAAGATTTATACAAACTTTCATCCTCTTTTTTATCTCCTTAGGGGTGGAATTTATCAAAATCCTTTCTTAGGGGATGCCTATGTCATAATTCTGCATGTCAAATTACAGCCCGATTCGTCCAGTGGTTTGGGTTGTGTATTGTAACTCAAAGGTGACTGATTGACAGTGATCTCACTGTCAATCAGTCACCTTTGAGTTATATATATTTTTTTTAGTGGATGATAATGGAATGCTCCCACCTGTGCTAACGGTTTACGCTGGCGGGGCACCAGTGGAAAATGATATGATGAACATGAAGTCAGCTCAGTTAGCACATCGTGACAAATTCAACGGGTATTTATCACAATGGTTTCCAGGCGGAACCGCGTGGAGGCCAACCTGACATGGTACATTGTTAGCAATGGGATCATCAGTCCACATTACTAACAATCCACTTCCCCCAGTTATATATATTTAAATATTATATTATATGGGGTGTATTGCAGCGTCTAGTGAATTGTGGCCTTGGAATCTCACCAGTCGGCCTGTAAAGGAGGTGGGTTTTTCCACTGATCGCAGACGTTCTGCAAACTCTCGCCAGTGGCTCCAAGTAGCTGTAGTGGATACAGCGGCCACACCCCGGTAAACCGCGTCGACTCGCGGGCTAAACCTGGTCGAGGGGGCCTGCCGTTGAGGCAGGTTGTACAGCGGATACCTCCCGCTTAGTGCACGAAGTCTATCCCGGTGGAAAAGGCGACTCATCGCAGATATGCAACGAGTTTGGCGGACCCGGCGGGATAGCAAGGCCTGGTGGACGGCTTAGGGCAATGATAGAGGACAGAGTTATCATTGGCCAGACACATCATCTGAACCTGTCTCCAGTCGTATCGGTCTCTCCGCTCCACTGGATCAAGATGGGAGAAGACGAGGGTGTGCACATGTGTTTGCGCGTACGCTTGTGCACCTAAATATCTCCTGCGCAACTGACTGCTTCCGAATATGGACTCCGATTTGACGGAAAGTCCCGTGGCGATGGGTCGAGGTAGAGAGGTCCGATTTGATGCATATTGGGCTTTGTCTGAGACCTGCACGCGGGCGGCTCTGGGGGTGTTCCTAGAATACCGTGGTCGTTCCTTCTCTGATCAGGGGGGACAGAGAGGGCTCGGCAGCACCTGGAGCGGCAAAGCAGCCCTATTCAGGGAAGCACTGCTTTCCCTGCTCAGCCAGGGAGGGGCTAGAAAAGGTGTCCTAAAAATTGCTCACCCCAACACTTTAGGACGGTAGCAACCGCGGCTGCCTCCGCATCGTTAAACTCGCGGTCGACGCCACAGAAAGAAGTATACAAATAATAAAATCCCTATTATGACATTCGGCGCGTGGAATGTACGTACCCTGCTTGATCGCGATGAAAATATCTGCCCCGAACGGAAAACCGCCATTGTTGCCCGTGAACTTCGTCGCTATGATATAGATGTGGCTGCTCTCAGCGAAACACACCTAGCTGATGAAGGGGAGCTGGTGGAATGCGGTGGCGAGTATACTTTCTTTTGGAAGGGACTCGCTGCCTCTGAGACGCGTCGGTCAGGTGTTGGATTTGCGATTAAAAATAGACTTGTTAACTAGCTACAAGAGTGTCCGGTTCATATTTCGGACCGCGTTACCACACTGCGCCTACACCTGGACAAAGATAACTTTCTTAATGTCATCAGTATCTATGCGCCGACTATGGATAAGTCTGATGACATTAAGGATCAGTTTTATGAAGAGCTTTCAAGCTGTATCTAAAGCGTAAGACCTAAAGAGCAGATTCTCCTGTTGGGTGATTTTAATGCCAGGGTAGGACGGGATTACGATGCATGGCCCAATGTTTTGGGTAGGCATGGAGTTGGTTCCATGAACAGCAACGGCCAGCTTTTACTCAGTTTATGTGCACAATTCCATCTTGCAATAACGAGTACCTTGTTTAGGCTTTCCGCTAAATACAAAAATACATGGATGCACCCAAGATCCAAACACTGGCATCTAATTGACTACGCAATCGTTCGGCAACGTGACGTCTCCCAAGTCCTCGTCACCCGCGTCATGCGTGGTGCGCACTGCTGGACTGACCATAGGCTTGTTGTTGCTAAGTTGCGTCTTCGCCTCTATCGTCCTCGAAGATCTGGTACATCAAAGCCCAACGCGAGTCTTAACGTAGATGGGCTTCAAGATCTTGAGATGAGGAAAGAATATGCTCGATCTTTGGTCTCTGGTTTGCCATCCATCAACAAAGACGGCGGCATTGTGGATTGCGACTGGAGTGCTTTGTCTTCTCACATACTGAACACGGCCACAACTACTTTGGGTAGTAGAGCCCGTAAGAACGAGGACTGGTTTGATGAGAATGATGAAGTATTGACGGAAGCAATTGACAAGCATCGCCGTCTCCTCCGACAACACCGCGGAGCTGACCAAAATGTGAGCGTTGCGGAGATCAGAGAAAGTAACCTGCAGCTGAGGCGATTATCTAGGGAGGCCAAAGACAAGTGGTGGCGAGAGAAGGCTCAACAGATTCAGTGGCTCGTTGACACGAATCAGCTCGGAGAATTTTACAGCGAGGTTCGGAAATTAATTGGCACAACTTCTATTGCCAAAATACCGTTAAAGCCGCTGTCTGGAGTAGGTTTACTTAAGAGCAAAGAGGAAGTACTTGCACGATGGGCAGAACACTTCAGCACTCTGCTAAATGTGGACCGGGCTGCTGACCTGGAACACATTCGTTCGATTCCGCAACTCCCTGTCGCTACTGAGCTGGACGAGACACTCACTCGTGAGGAGATTGCTATCGCCATCAAACAACAGCAAAATAAGCGTGCGGTGGGCATTGACTCTATACCGGGAGAACTGTTTAAATACGGCGGTGATGAATTGCATTCAGCTATATGGGAACATTTTGTTCGTATGTGGCAAGAGGAACAAGTCCCATCTACTTTTAAAGTATCACGTATCAGGGCCCTATATAAGAACAAGGGTGACCGGTCCGATTGTAATTCATACCGTGGTATTTCGCTACTATCAGTCCCTGGAAAAGTCTTTGCACGAGTGTTGCTGAACCGCCTTATGACGCTTTCCGAAAAACTTCTTCCCGAAACCCAGTTCGGCTTCCGGCCTGAACGAGGTACGTGTGAGGCTATATTCTCAGTGAGACAACTACAGGAGAAGAGCAGAGAGCAAGATCGTCCTTTATATCTCTGTTTTGTTGACCTTGAGAAGGCCTTCGATAGTGTGCCTCGTGAAGCCCTCTGGCTTGTACTTCACAAAATCGGATGTACAGAGAAGTTCGTGAGACTTCTAAGACTCCTGCATGATGACATGCAGTGCTGCGTCGCTGTTAACGACGAACAGTCCAATTTTTTCCCCGTCACCTGTGGGGTAAAACAGGGGTGCGTTCTAGCACCCACATTGTTCGCGTTATACTTTTCAGTCGTAGTCCAAGAGGTCTCACAAACGACTTCTGAAGGTGTTCGCATTCGATTTCGCACGGACGGCAATATTTTTAATCTAGCCAGACTGAAAGCCCGCACCAAAGTGTCGCATGCCGTGATCACTGAGTTGATGTACGCTGATGACCTGTGCTTCGTAGCAGAATCCCCAGGGGGCCTGCAACAGCTAATGTCCGATTTCCACGAGTCGTGCCAAAAATTTGGCTTAAAAATCAGTGTCAAAAAGACGGAGGTGATGTCTTTGGATACTCATGGTCGCGAGTCACTGAATATTACACTCGGAGGGGATGAGCTGAAGCAGGTGGATAAGTTTCGCTACCTGGGTAGCACAATATCATCTAAGTGTGATCATGATGCAGAGATCAACAGCAGAATCGGTGCTGCTGCAGCGGCCTTTGGCAAGCTGGACTCTAAGGTCTTTAACTCGCACGACTTTAGGTTGGCAACGAAGATCAATGTCTACATGGCAGTCGTGCTGCCCAACATCTTATACTCTGCCGAAACGTGGACAGTATATCGCCGTCACATCCGTATGCTAGACCGATTCCACCTCAAGTGCTTACGGAAAATACTTCATATCCGATGGTCTGACTGCGTACGGAATACTGAAGTGCTGCGAAGGGCCAATGTCGGTGGTATTGAGTCTTATCTTATGCGGTGTCAGCTTCGGTGGTGCGGGCATGTGACGCGTATGATGGAGGAAAGAATGGCTAAGTGCATCTTTTACTCAGAACTTGAGGAAGGCAAGCGGAAGCATGGCGGACAACTCCTCAGGTACAAAGATGTGCTGAAGCGACATATGAAGCAGTGCGACATCAATCCTTCGATGTGGGAGCAGCAAGCTGCCGAACGGCCGGAGTGGAGAGCGCTTGTTAATTCTAGCGTCAAAGCTTTTGAAAACCGGCGGCTCCTTGAGCTGGATGCCAGACGTGACAAGCTGAAAGCCCGACCATCTGCGGCTATCAGCTATAATTATATGAACGGTGTGCTCTCATGCCCGCAATGTGCGAGGATTTTTACACACAAAATAGGCTACATAAGTCACATGCGAGCACATCAACGACAAAATCGGAACTGAAGATAGTCGCCGTGGCCGAAATCGGCCTGGATTACATCATATTTAAATACATGTACACCCGGGCGAAACCGGGTGGGTAGTTAGTAAATTATGAGTTTGAATATTTTTAAGGTTCTATTGTCAAGGACTATAA